GTTTTCAGTCTATGATTGTGTTAGCAGCTCTTCAGAAATAACAATCTGCAGCAGCTCACATGATAAAGTTCAATATTATGATGTGCGCAATTAATTCAGTATCTAGATATGTTTAGTGTTTGAACCAACTCAATAAGGACTTTTGGTGATTCAAATTTTTAATGATTGAAAAATATGTGGATTTCAGTGGTTAACCGTTCATTAACAAATGTTAACAGAAACATAACCATTCGAATCATAAAATTACGATGAATGAAGAAACAAGAAAGTCAATGCAAAAAATAAAAGAAGTGGAATCCTTAAATTCATTTAAAACTTAACGAGTCTCATGACGTATGCAAATAAATAATATATGCGTATAAAACATAAATTATTATATTGATGATACAATTAACATTAAATTTTAATCAAGTGTTTGATCATTTTATGCAACGTTTTGGCAAAATCAATACTACATCCACTTCATTTGAAATTTGGTGGATAGTTGTCTCATTGGCAATCATACCACATCTCCTTATTTTTATACATAACAAAACAAGTTATCCAAAATCATATAAAATACAAAAAGTGTTTTAATGTTGGAAACTTCATATTTTAAAGATTTCCAAGTGGTCTTATTTAGTAATTTCTGCAGTCATTATTCTAAAATGTTTTCATTGAGAACGTAAAGCAAATACAGAGTCGACAAAATTGAATATAGTATAGATATCTGCAAAACCATTGTATTTTTTTTAAAATTGGACGGGAAAAATATATACGATTGAACTTCTTATTACTTTCTTCTTTTTGCAAAAAGCATACATTTGCAAATTGGATTTTGAAGTAAAGATAACAATTATAGAAGCAGGTCTATTTTTGTAATATCTGACCCAAAAAAAAGCGCATATTCTTGCGATTTTGATACATTGCAAGGGATACACTGTAAAACGTCAAAGAAATAAATATATTTTGTCGCTGGGTTATAAAGTATACTTTTTAAATCATTTGCCGTTTTCGATTAAGGTCTTTTGATTGTTTAATTACTCACACTCCATAAAAAATAATGGTTTGGTATTGTTTGAATTTGTCATTCAGGAGGTCATATTTTTACATACGCTTTTGATTTAATACCTTGAATGCTAAGATAACTTTTAAACGGAAATTTTAAAAATCTAAGATTAAAAGTACGAAACATCTATCCCTTAGCAAGAACTTTCTTGTTAAAATATAAGAAAACAACTACAAAAAAGCGTCAATACAAAAACTCAAATTGGCACTGTAGGTAATGCAGAAAGGCGATTTATTCTTTTTTGGGAGGTAAAATGACAAACTCTTTAACTTAGAATTTCTTCAAAACTTCTTCAATTACTTTAAATTTTACTGATTTCCTGACCGTTGCCGATGACACCATAAGTTTCTGATGTAGAGAAAGAAATCAAATGGAATTTCATTATAAGATTTATATTTATCTACGATAAAATGATAGAAATATTCTTCTGCTGTAACGATTGTCTAAATCAAAGACTGCAGTATTACCTATAGTGCTCTAATTTATCTAGATAATGACTTTAAGAGGTTTTTGTCGTAGTATGTTTGTTATTTCTGCTCATTCAGTGCAACCTAATTATCTTTGACACACATATTACACGTTCACAAAGTATAACTTGAAATTCATTACTATATGTGTAAACAGCGTAGTTAAGCTATATGTGTAGCTGGATTAATAAAAACTATCAAAATATAAATTCAAATTCGAATTCATTATTAACTTTGAGCCTTACGGCCATTTGCCTGAACAGTACTGAATTGACTGGAAGCGATTTGTCTGAACAGTACTGAATTGACTGCAAGCGACAAGTCTGATTATTGATTGAAAGACTTAAATATATACCCTTAATAGAGAAAACTACGCATACAATTGTCATTTAAACCATATTAAAGTGATAAACGACTTCAGTATGTTAAGCTCACGGAAGCTTAAAAGCATGCACGTTCTGCGGTTTGGAAATCCTTGAAAATGCCAGTCTATTAAAGGAAATCCCTTTGAGTTTTGAGTTTTTCAAAATGAATCTCAACTTCCTCGAGCTGCTGATATCATCATATACCTCACATCGTCTGTTGATCATGTAAAAGCTCAGTATAGAAAGTAAAACAATCTTCTTTAATTCCGCTTGGCGTTTTCAGTCTGATTTTATCAGCTTTCCGAAAATGATATTTATTGAGGTTGCATGATAAATGCATCATTGTCCTGTTGTTTATATTAATAATTGATAATTAGTGATTCAAATATAAGTGATGGAAAATTAAGCGAATTTTTAAAGTGTTAATCGAATTATTCTATTTCAACCATGAGCATTTGTTTCTTAAAATTGCAATGAATGAATTCATAAGCAAGCAAAGGAAATAAAATGAAAAATTCAAAGATCATTACACACTTCACAAGTTGATAATTGTAATGTCGTATCCAAAGTAATGATAGAATATAAACACCAACTATGATATTTAATTGACACCAATATTTATAACCAATGACTTTCACAAGATACATTTAGTATGATGTATGAAAACGAGAGAGCATTTAAGCCTGTCATTCTCTTTTAAGATGGGAACGTTTTTGTTATCTTTAAAAACACAGTGCTAGTAGTATAACATGTTTATCAAGTAAGATGCATATAGACATTTATATCCGTAATGATGCTATAAAACGAACGATATGTAAACTTTTGAAATGATCCGATGACGATTACACAATCGGTTATAATGATGAATATTATGTAAATGTTTGATAATCTTAATTAAACTTCCTCAAGGATAAGGTTTTGTTGTTGTTTTTCCCTAGAATAACTTTTATAGTACAAATTGTGTTAAAAGGTTAAAACCCAGACTGAATATATACTTTTAAAGAGAAAACCATGCATGCAATTGTCATTTAAACCATCTTTTCTTCCATTAAAACGATAAACAACTTCTGTATGAAAAGCTATAAGTGAAGCTGAACATAACAAAGTGCAGCATGATAGAAGTTTCCAACTAATGAAATGATTTTAAAAGGAGGGGTATGGGACGATGAACATCAGACAACAGACTGCCTATACATACAAATGCAATTTATACCATATTTTCTTCCATTAAAATGGTAAACAACTTAAGTATGTTAAGCGAACGGAAGCTGAACAGTATTTTCGTTCTGACATTATCTGATAGAAATTTCCAACTTATAAACTGATTTGAAAAATAGGGGGTATTGGATGTTAATAAACATGAGACAACCACTTTTGAAATACTAGAAAATCACAGTCTATCAAAGGACAAATCTTTGTGCTATAAGCATTTAAAAAAATCAAACTGGTCTTCCTTAAGATAGAGATAGCTTCATAAACCCAACTTCCGTCTTTTGATCATGTAAGCGATAAAACATGCTTATGTGGGAGTTGTTCCGCTAGTCGTTTTCAGGCTTTGATTGTATTAGCAGCTCTCCAGAAATAATATTGTGCAGCAGCTTACATGATAAAGTTCAACATTATGTTGTGCGCAATTAATGCAATATCTAGATATTTTTTTTGTGTTTGAACCCACTCAATAAGGACTTTTGCTGATTCAAATGTTAAGTGATTGAAAATCATGTGGATTTCAGTTGTTGACCATTCATTTACAAATGTTTACAGAAACATGACCATTTGAATCACACAATTACCATTAATGAAGACATAAGAAAGTAAATGAAAATAAAAATAAAGAAATGAAATCTTTAAATTCTTTTAAAACTAAATAATTCTGATATCGTTTCAAAGAAATAATATATGCGTATAAAAAAATTATGAAAGTGTATTAACATTGAATTTTAATCAAATGTGGTCATTTTGTGCAACGTTTATTGCAAAATCGAATACATAAAAAAATAAGTAAATATAATCAAAAATTATATAAAAAGCAAACATTATTTTAATGTTGGAATCTTCTTATTTTTAAGATTTTCAACAGATCTTATCAATAATTTCTGCAGTTTTTATTCTTAAATGTTTTAATCGAGAACGTAAAGCAAATATAGGGTCGATAAATACAAATATAGTATAGATATCTGCCAAACCAAGGGGTTAAATGACAAACTTTTTAACCGAGAATTTCTATCAAAACCTTTAGGTCTAAATCAAAGACTGCAGTATTATTTTTGGTGCTCTTATTTATATAAATAATGACTTTTGTCGTAGTATGTTTGTTATTTTCTGCTCATTCAGTGCAACCTTATTATCTTTGACACACATATTACACGTTCATAAAGTATTACTTGAAACTCATTATTGTATGTGTAAACAGTGTAGTTAAGCTCTATGTGTAGCTGGATAAACGAAAACAAAAAACAGAAGCCTAGGCCAAACAGAAAATCCTGCAACAGTTGTCTCCATCAAGTGCTTTTAATTGGTTATGCCTTTACTTTTAACCGCCTATATGAATGTATTATGTATTATCATGTGATAAGTACACTGCTCATAGATACCAGGCTTAAAATTTTGTACGCGAGACGCACGTTTCGTCTACAAAAGACTCATCAGAGACGCTCGAATGAAAAAAGTTAAAAGGGCAAAATAAAGTACCAAGTTGAAGAGCATTGAGAACTAAAAATTCCGAAATGTTTTGCCAAATACAGCTAATGTATTAAGAACAATTTAATACTTTGTAAACAGTTAATTTATAATTATGACAATATCAATGATAAGTCATGCAAAGTTGATCAGTCTATTTCATTGCAGTTTCTTAACAAAATGCCAGGTTAAGTTTGAAGAAGTGGATTCGTGTCAATAATCGAATATATACGTGTTTAAAAAAGTAAACCATCACAGAGATTTTCTTATTTATGCAGCTACATGTTTATAAGTCGAAGATGTAGAAAACTCGACATACATACAGGAAATCACAAATTCGGGACGGTTATAAATCATTTTTGTTTTATTCCTAACTAATCTTTTATTTACCCATAATTTTTCATTTTTTATCTAAACCTTTGTTTTTGTTTTATATTTCAGGGTTTTACAAAGATTTATAAACAGTTCTTCCCGTTTGGTGATCCAAGTAAATTTGCTACATTCGTTTTTAATGTTTTCGATGAAAATAAGGTAATATCCTTTATAGTTTTATAATTGTTGGGTATGGTTGGTTCACTGACATATTACCTGCACCCCCGTTTAGGCAGTATTAGTAAATTATTATTACATTGGACAAGAAAAACAGTTTACAAATAAATGTGTACACACAGCTTTACATATGAAGCAGACAATAATCAACAATAAAGGAGAAGGTGCATTAATGTCTTTATTTGGCAAAATATTTAGCAAGTCTTATCATTAAACATGATGACAAAACATGTGATAACAATATTTAGGAGAAGTGGGCAATATTTTTTATTTTTGGAAAGTTTGTATGAACTATGAACTTGCTGAACTACATCTGAATATCGGAAAAAAATACATATTGCATTCATACTTCCAGGGATACTGTTGAAAAAAAGATTATATTAAAAATACAGATCGTAGACATGTTAAAGTGCAATATATATGAATTTCATTAATGTAATTTGCAATTTTTAGAAATCTATCCTTGGAGTTTTGTTTAAAGTGACATGTTATTGCAAGGAATGTTTTTCAATTTAAAATTACTACTATTGGGACTCTGGATTAATTTTTTTCAGAAATCAAATGTCTCGATGTGTACAAAAGTGTGGAGAAAACCTCGAAATAGACAAAATAACCAAACTTATCATACGATCGTGGCGGCATCAAACTATAAAATCGTATTTAAAATGAATTTTCTTGTATGATTCCTAAAATTTTAATGATTTAGACTCTGATTTAGAAACCACAAACGATGCCAGTGACCCCCTTTAATTTTCATATCGTTAAAATGGAAACGCTCATAACAATAGAATCGCAATTATACACAAGTTTCAGGTGGAATTTCGAGAAATCACAATTAAAATTGAAAACAATAAAATGTTATGGCACTTTGACGTGCATAAATAGACTATTTTCATATTACCGACTTTTGACTGCGAATTATATAATTTTTCGACATGTAACCTACTCTGTGGTAGGACATTCTTGTACTCGGTCGAGTAAGAGCAATTTAAAGAAGTGAAATCAAACATATAATCGGTGCAATTTGGGGAGAAAGTTTACTGTTTTCCAATGATTTTGTCGTGTATAGATAACACAAAACAGTAAATCCCCCCCCCCCCCCCAAAATAAAATACAGATTGTAAGATTAATTTTAGTTCTTTAAGTTGCTCTTACTTGACTGAGTACCAGGATGTCCTACCTCAGAGTAGGTAACCTGTCGAAAAAATATATACTCTAGAGTCAAAAGTCTGTAATACGAAAATAGTCTATTGCTTTGTATCTCTGGAGGTATAAATATCTAAATATATATACTTCACTATTCAGATTCAGTTCAGCAATCTCTTATTCCAGATTACATAAATATCATAAATACCTTATTTGTTGACGAACATTCACATGCATGAGACTAAATTTTGACAAATACCATATTTTATAAAAAGTCTTCTAATAGCCTTTAAAAAACTGAAGAATTAAATTAAAAAAAAACATCAAATCGCATTGAGATATTTAAAAAAATTAGACAAAATATGAGGACCAATAAGTAATAGTTTACTTACATTGTTTATTTGTCTCATACATTCGTGTACATTAATACCTTGAAAAACCCATTGAAATTTTTTTTTAAAGTTTTATCTAGTAGTGAGAGAATCTTCATTTTTGTGCGTTTGTAGAATTACAACATGTAGAAGATACAAGTTGGGGCGTTTATTTTTACCTTTTGCTAATACAAATTGCTTTTATTGGCAATTAACCGAATGATAGAAACACATGATGTTTAAAATCGGATTTAGTTTCACAATTATGAAAATAAAAATATTTTGATCTATAATAACATTAGATACGTTAAATATAAACTATAACTGTTATGAAAACATTTTCCACAGATAGCAGTGATGTATATTGACAACTTTATCTTGAAGAACTAGGCTTAAAGATTTAATAAACTTTACACCTATTTTTCTAATTCATAACCACCTGTCATCGCAAAAGCTTTTAATATTTCGAACACGTGCTAAAACGTACCATTGGATCAATACCGTTGCTTGTGGGCAGAGAGCATGAATTGTTATATACTTTTTAAAAAATCGAAAATATTCGAACTCCTAAGTCTTTATGACCTCAAACATTTTTTTAAATCCTTATTGTTACATGTAACTGTGCACTGCATGGTCTCACGAAGATCTCTACCTATGTTTCCATTTTGATATATACCAGACGGCAGATTTGGCCTTGCAAGTTTAAATAAAGGAATGCTTGACCTATCATTGTGACTGTCGTATTTAGTAAAATAGATGCTTAAAACAAATTTTCAGCTCTGAACAAAAGGCTTGATGTGTTTTTACTCATTTTCCAGACAGCCAAAAGTGGTTTTGTTTTACATTTACCTATTATTTGACCAATCTGATTGCATTTTTTTAGGACGGTTTTATAGAATTTGGAGAATTTTTACAAGCTTTATCCGTGACCTCTAGAGGAAGTGTACAAGAAAAGTTACAATGTAAGTGAACACACGTTTTTTTTTCATTTATTATCATGATTATTGGTTATACAATTCACTGTTGCAGAATCTAAATGCATTCTTGGTATTATTTTAAAAAGAGTACACTAAAACGGCACAAACAATGGAAATTCAACCAATGACGAGACCTTATTTTCATAAACAATGGAAATTCAACCAATGACGTGACCTTATTTTAATAAACAATGGAAATTCAACCAATGACGTGACCTTATTTTCACAAACAATGAAACTACCCATAGTCCTTTAGATTATAAAACGGCGAATTGTTGAAAGGAAATCAGAAATTGTTGCACCAAATAAATCCATGTTTGACTTTCTGGATTACGTCATCAGTGTTCATTGTGTTCACGTGACAGTTAAACATTTTACTGTCCTCTTGCATAATAACCAATTTTAAACACCATTAATCAACAAATTCTCTTTCATTCAAATCACTTAGAACATAGTTGGTATATATCTTCTTGATGTGTATGCATTAACACCTTTTAACATAGAAAGTAGCTTTCAACAATATACACATTCTTCAAATAGTTAAGCTAACCTTTTATATTTCGTTAATAATAATGTTGCAATGGTTAACCACAGGATGTTATGCACATTAAAAGATACATATATCTTATAAATACCCGTCCTTCATTTAAGTTAATTTTCATGTAAACATTGTTTAACTTGACGCTCTTTATCTTTCAATTAATCCTAGCAATGTTATGCAATAATTGTTGTATAACGTCAGCATTGTTTAATTTTACATGTTCTACAGTTCTGTAATGGTGATCTGAAATAGTTTTTTTACACTTTTCATGAAATAGAAAAACACTTGATTTAAACAAAAATAGAAAGTGTTGTATTAGAACAATCTTAACTTTATAAAAAAAAGTCAATAAAGTATCAGTTATATAAATATTTGTATTGGTATGTTGGATTTTTACCTTTCTGATACAAGTCAGAAACTTTACGATGCCTCGATTCTTATGAGTCGGTTTTTATACATCCTTGGTTTTCAAATATTCGACTTTGAGCGTTACCAATGAAGGGAAATCCAAAAAATAATGGGGACTTCGTATTTTGCTTAATTTAATTAGGGGAACACGGACAATGCCATATTTACAAATGGTTTGGCGTGCCATATTCAAATATCTTTATTACTCAGAGAATAAGTTGCAGTTAAATCTTCAAAGAAACTTGTAAGCATAATGCACTTGTTCATCTTATATTTTATTTTTATGTCAATGATTTTAATGTATGCCAAATTTTAACATAGACGTAGAAAAACATTAAAAATTATTAAATTATTATTATTATAAACTAGTATATATTGAGTTTGAGGTCTTCCATGGACAACTCACATTTAAATATTTGAAATGAAAATATTTTTTTGGAAATCTTGAATTTTTATTCCAGGGGCTTTCAAGTTATATGACCTTGACAGTGATGGCTATATAACACGAGTAGAATTGTTAGATATAGTAGATGCCATTTATAAAATGGTGGTATGTATATTTTACACAAATAATGCAAAACAATTAGGTATTAGCTACACGCATTTGTACAAGTGTATTTTCCAAATCATCTCCCCTTGCATGCATCCTTTCTACTTTCACTTCTTTCCTTTTCTCCTAGGCTTGCAACATGTATTGTTCTCACGGAAGTCTTTTCCAAATATGTTTGCCTTTTCCTCCATTCTTCTGATTTTTATATTTAATTTTGCAGTGCCCAAATCTTCAGTTTTAAAGCATACGGATTTGCAAACGTTAGTTCTTGCTTGTTCCCATTTGTGTGTTGTTTTAAAGAATTTGATGGCAGGTATCTCCTTTAATACTGTTGATTTTTCCGTCTACCAGATTAATACAAACATATCACATGATTTCCATGCGGAAAACACGTGTTTCTAGAATAAGCTTCATCAGCTACGCTGAAGACCAAAAATGTGGAAAGACGAAAATAAAAATGTAGGAGAGCACAAATGAATGAAGAACCTAAAACTAAAAGCCAAAACTGTCTAAGGCGTAAGTTGCATGTTTGAGTTGAAAGCTTTGTACAATTACAAAATATTTTGAAATTGGAACTTAAAGAAAAAGTATCATTTGAATCAACACTTGCGATATTTGATAAAAATGCCATGTTTGTTTTGTTCTTATGCATTTTCAATAAATAAATGCGTTTTTATACGACCGTTTACGGGGTGTATTATGGTATAACGTTTCCGTCTGTCCGTCCGTCCATCCGTCCGTCGTCAACATGTCGGACAATAACTCAAAAACGCTTTAACCAGTTTTTATATAACTTTGGTGAATTGTTTATATCTATTGACGTGAGCTCCCTTTCGTTTTTTATAAATTTTTAGATTTTACGTTTTCGAGTTGTGGGGTTTTATTCATTAAAAAAGGGGGATTTTCCAGTTTTTGGACAATAACTCAAAAACATTTTCACCAATTTGCAAGAAACTTTGGTGAATTGTTTGTATCTATTGACATGAGCTCCCTTTCAATTTTTATAGATTTTAGATTTTATGTTTCAGAGTTATGGGGTTTTATTCATTAAAAAAGGGTGGATTTTCCAGTTTTCGGACAATAACTCAAAAATGCTTTCAGCAGTATTCATGAAACTTTTGTGAATTGTTTATATCTATTGACGTAAGCTCCCTTCCGATTTTTATAAATTTTAGATTTTACGTTTCCGAGTTATTGGGTTTTATTCATTAAAAAAAGGAGGATTTTTCCAGTTTTCAGACAATATCTTTAAAGTGCTTTGAGTAGTTTTCATGAAACTTTGGTGACTGGTTTATATCTATTAAGATAACCTTCCTTTAGTTTTTCATAAATTTCTGATATGACATTGAGAAGTTATTGGACTTTATTCTGTAAAAACGCGACGGGGGTATCATGCGCTCATGACGCAACAGCTTATTAATCATTATATCGGAATGTATAGATGATATTGATAGTGTCCGTCCGTTCGTCTGTCCCTTAGCTTCCAATAAAGGAATAGTTTGACATTTTGTCTTGAACTTTATAATGTTGAGTGGTTACCGTGTAAGCGATTTTCATATCTGCCGGACAGTCACGTTCTGGTTTCGCTGCGTGCAGCTACTTTCATGTTCATATAATTAGATATATTTGAAGTTCCCTTTGCATTCATATTCAATAACCAAAGATAATATTAGATAAATCAGTATTCCCTTGAAATACAAATTTGGGAATAGATTCTATATATTACGACATTTCTTTCGGGGTTCAGAGTTATTTACTTATTCTCATGTAACCGTTTTTTTTACGTTCGTTCATTGTATTGGTCTTTTTAAAAAAGAAAATAAAAGCTAAATTTTCTTGCATTTTGCGCGAAAAAATATTTACTGTGGATTTTCGTGGATACCGATTTGAATGGATATTTGATTTCGTTGTATTGCCGAATTCTACAGACAAGGCTTTAGAAAATGTGCATTTCGTTGAACATGGAAATTTGTGGTTGACCTAAACTGACGAAATGCACGCATATTGGTATATAACGATTAATAATGAAGTATTATACAATGCTATAACTGAAAGTAATAGGTTTTTCCGCATTGCACACGACAATTGGAATAAGACTCGAACACACATTACCATGGGTAGTGATCACTGTAGAGCATCTACTTAGACAACTCGGCCAACGAGGCCTCTCTTGAACTCGAAGACAGTTCCCAATTAATTTGCACATTAGATGCAAATGACAAACGACACGTTAACATACAATTACAACTTTGGCAATGAAAATATTATGGATATTATAGACATAATTGATGTTACCTGTTTTACTGAAGTTTATGATGAAAGATGCCATCAATTGTCTTTAAAACTGGCTTGATATGATATAACAAAACTCATCATATGATAAATAAGATGAAGTGATAGTAAGAACACAATTATACTAGCCAAAAGAAGAAACGAAACACATTACTGCATTTTACATATTTTCTTGAAACTTTATATTCGTGTGTGGGTTTGGTCTTAAATTTCGTCTATTTGGCAAACACATCTACAAAATTCAAAATTAAATTTCTCAAAAGTTTGAGATAGCACTAACTAAACTCCTCAATTTTAGCTTTTATCAGACTTTTTTTTTATATTTCTTGAAAATTAAGATGAATAATTAGACATTGTTGTATGGAGACTCTTTAATGGATAAAAGGTAAAATAATAAAAATACCGAACTCCAAGGAAATTCAAACAGAGAGTCCCTTATCAAATGGCAAAATCAAAAACTCAAACACATCAAACGAATGGAAAACAAATGTCATATTCATAACCCGCGTCTAGTGTAGTTGGAATGAAATTCACAGCCAATCATATTAAGATTCGCCAACAACACCAAAACTTCAATCTTTAACTAAATACAATCACTGACGAACTTGAATTGGGACTGGTACATTCGCATGTGTTAAAGGAGTATTCAGCCTACCGCCTTTTGTAATCTCCATCAAAAAAGGTCGAGAGAAGAACTATAATTTAATTAGAGAAAACAGTAGTTTACAGATATTCAAATCTTATAAATATATTGTGAAGATACAAATCAAGGTAAGAACCAAAAGGAACGAGACCAGATGCGATTAAATATTAAATATCATTCTAGAAAATAAAAAACCACTATTATATGTATAACTCACGTATTCTTGGAAAATGGTAATATATTCTGCATCTGTTAATCAATGTACCCCTTTAATCAGTTCTTAAACCCACTTTTGTTAAAATGGCTTATTTTTTAAAATCTTAAAATGTGCATTAGATGTAATCAGTACAAACACACATAAAATTACTTTCAATTTATACAAATTTAACCACAATATGAATAGATTTTCAACTTTGAATTTTTTTAATCGCATACGTGATATCATAAATATTTTGGAGAACAAAAACATGCGTTGCACATGTTAATTTACATTGCAATGATATTTACAACGGAAATACAACTATTAAAAAATAAAGATATATTTTTATGAGGAAAAATATGAAAAGGTCAATACTTAGATTTTGATTTCTGATAACACAAGGAAAGTTTTGATTTTAGTAGCCCTGGTAGTATGTCTGTGAATGTGAATGCTATTTTTCAAGAATTTAGTTTTTGCAAGTAGCAATCAACATATGCCTTCTGTATATTAAGATATTCATATGTATCGTGTTCGTGACTTCATTGAGGCAATTTTATGTTGGTTTGACTTAACTATATAAAGAGATTACCCAATGGAGGAAAAGGTACTTGACATTCAAATAGTTTTGCTATCACAAGAAAAAAATATTGTAGGCTTAAAAGTTTTACAACAAATATTACCCACTTCATTCACAATAACACTCATAAAGATCCCAGATGAAATATCCAGACATTTGGTAACTGTGTCATTGAATTTACACCTACAAAACTTCGCGAGTATGGCCATGGTTCTTGAAATGAATGAGATAAAACGGTGCAAAACTATAAATCTTTGCGCATTCTATTTGTAGAACTTATTTCTTTCTTTTAATAGTTTTTTTCTCCGTTGGCATATTTAATATGCACGACTTTTCACACAAAAACAATAGTTTGGTGAGGAATTTTAATCGACACTCTCCTTGCAAAGTTCTCCCTGAGCAACAGTTATTAAGTTAATTGTGGTTTTTTTTATATTTGCTATACTTATGCATTTTCTTCGTCAAATTATTTTGTGTTTAAATGATAATCTGAATGCAGTATTTTAAAATACAAAGAAATAATCAAATAAATCGGAAGACAATTGATACAAAAATATAGAAAAAGTGTTCACGTTTAAGTTTAATGAATTCCTTTGAATAAAAAAAAACAAAGGAACAAGAAAAAAAAGATCAAAATATCCAAATGCCGGGTTGCGAAGAATGTTTATTAAAAAATGAGGAATAGTCTTTACTGAACATTTAAATATATGGAAATAAAACTTAAAATGTATAAACGGTAACATATATGTAAACAACTCCATAATGGATGGTGCACAACTTCAATAAGTTTGCAAACTTTTTGTGAAGTTGCAAAGATCTAGGTTTAAAGCGAAAATTGTTGCCCCTTTTTAAAATTTTAAAAGTCTGGAAAAAAGGGAAATCCTTAACCAATTCCTTAATAGCGGATGCACATGTACAACATATTTGCAATCATTCTGTGAAGTTTCAACGATCAAGGTTGATAACTGTAGGAGAAATGTTTTACACAAAATTTGTAACTTTTGTCGAAAAAATAACCAAGTTTCCAAGTCTTGTCAAATGGGGAAAAATTTCTCAAAAAATTCCATAATAGCAGGTGCACAACTTCAACATCTGTGCAATCTTTCTATGAAGTTTCTATAGTGGGAGTTGATTACACAAATTATGTATCAACTTTTCTCGAATTCCGTTCGTCCGACCATCTGCACGACATCACCATACTATAAACCAATTTTGGACATCCTACCTTCCGGCCAAAAGCAAAAAAAATCTCACAATTCTAAAATTTTAGGACATTTCATCAAACTAATTGCGTGTGCTTTTTTCAAATATTTATATTCTATAATATTTACCATTTGGCCTGCAAATGGGTTTTGATTTCCTTTTCAACGAAAAGTTGCTTATGTTTTGTTTGTTTTAGCTGTTATTAATACACATCACATTAAACATGATTATGTTCCACCTAGGAGTTTTAATATAATCACAAATGTTTTTAGTTTTGCCTCATTCTCACACTTTTAGTTTACCTTTATAAAAACTGCCTTTATCTGGATACTATATTTTGTTAAACATTGGACTTTTAACAAGCTTTCAGTAGCTACAAGTACTATTGGCTCGGTTGTTTATGTCTGTTATCTTTTGTTATTTGTTTTTGTGCCTACAACTGATTTAATGAGTCATCCCTTTGCAACTGGGATTTACCTGTTTTTCTTAATTTATGTTGTTAAACTATACTGTCCCAGGTTAGGGGTTAAACACTCACAAACATGTTTAACCCAGCTGCATTCTTTAAATGACTGTCCCAATCGCTGTTTGTCACATTTTCAAATCGATTTTGTTTTCATTTTTTATATAACATTGCCTAAAAAATAGCCTTTTGGCATTTTTGTACAACAATATTAAAGACACCCAAATAGGTCGTTATTAGTTTGCAGAATGAGCATCAGAAACATTTTTTTAATATTTCTTTCAAATTTATTACTAAGAACAAACTAATAGAAACAATAAATAGTGAAAGAACTTTCACAAAATTGGATCTCACCATCCATTTTCTCATCACTCAATACACATGTTAATAACGCCTACAGATACTTTGATACTTTTTTGCTGTACAACTGCCAATTGTTGAAGACTGTGCAGTGACCAGTGAAAATGTTATCGCAGCCAATTGCGTTTGATTAATTTAGTGTTTATAGTTAAAGGATTGTAAATACTTATGACTTCACATGAAAAGGGTGAAAGTTAATTTAAAAGTCAAGAGAAATTATGTACATCAAGATATCTTATTAATATTTGTCTGAATTTTGTTTGTTTACAGGGTAACATGGTAAAGTTACCAGAGGAAGAAAATACCCCAGAGAAAAGAGTCAATAAAATTTTTGACATCATGGATAAGGTAAGGTAATCATTGATGCCTGAGGTCAGATCATATTTAATATTTAATTTATGTACTGTAAAAAAGACTGAAATGCCTGTAGAAATCGAACATCCAGAGGACAGTTGTAGACCTTTAGATAATCAGTTTAACCTTTTATTACAATGTACGTGTAAGCATGTTTTGCCTCAAGTGCAAGACAAGGTAATGGTAACAGGCAACCCATGGCACACAATATTCATTAACGAATTTGAAAAACAATGTTGCAATGCTTGTGCTAGATTCAATGAATCCAAATCTAACACATATCAACATTTAAATAAACAATACTGAAACTAAAAGCGGGGCTGACTTGAACTAAAATATAAACTAAACAGAAGTCGAAATGAAAGCGGGTACTCCGTAATGTTCAGCATATCCACATGCCAAATCCGTCTTAAATGTTAAGTTATGTATAAACTTATCATAGATATAGCTTCTAATTAACAAAAGTCTGGTAAGGAATAAACTCATCATAGATGTAGTTAATAATTAACAAAGTCTGGTAAGGAATAAACTCATCATAGATGTAGTTAATAACTAACAAAGTCTGGTAAGTAATAAAATCTTTATAGATAAAGTTACTGATTAACAAAGTCTGGTAAGGAATAAACTCATCATAGATAAAGCTAATAATTAACAAAATCTGGTAAGGAATAAACTCATCATAGATGTAGTTAATAATTGACAAAGTCTGGTAAGTAATAAAATCTTTATAGAAAAAAGTTACTCATTAACAAAGTCTGGTAAGGAATAAACTCAACATAGATAAAGCTAATAATTAGCAAAGTCTGGTAAGGAATAAACTCATCATAGATAAAGCCAATAATTAACAAAGCCTGGTAAGGAATAAACTTATCATAGATAAAGCTAATAATTAACAAAGTCTGGTAAGGAATAAACTTATCATAGATATGGCTACTAATCAACAAAGTTTGGTAAGGAATAAACTCATCATGGATACCAGGCTTAAAAGTTTGTAATCCAGCCGCACTTTTCTCAAAAGACACACCCGTGGTGTTCGAATAAAAAAAGTCAAAAAGTCAAAAAGGCCAAATAAAGTACGAAGTTGAAGAGCATCGAGGACCCAAAATTTCGAAATTTTTTGCCAACAGCTAATATAATCTACATCTGGGGTTGAAAATCCTTAGTATTTCGAAAAATCCAAAGAAATGGTATTATTAAGAATAATATATAGGATACATTCATCTGTTACTGGTCGCCAATCTTAAAACTTATATGAAGTGATACCATTTGATTTCTTTCACAAATATACACTACTCACTGGATTGGTTGTTTGTTTTGCGTCCAGTGGAAAATGTTCATGCATATTTGAGATAATGCACTAATCGAACAAAGAACTTAAATAACGAAAGTAAAACTGTCATTGAACGATTTTTAAATTATATATATCTTATTTACCTTTCCTTTATTTTCAGAATAAAGACGATAAACTATCATTTGAGGAGTTCATAGAAGGATCTAAAAAAGATCCAACAATAATCCAAGCACTGACTCTTTACGACACTCAAAATAGCTCAAGCTAGGGGAGACAAATCCCTAAATATCACAATCTCTGAATGAGGACCATCTATATGTCTTCCAAAACCATGACGATAGATACATTGTAACACATTTGGGATGTATGTGAATGAGGTCAAACCCGATATCTGAGTTACCATGGAAACAGAACCCTTTTAAAGTGGATGACCAAAGAAACGATGTCTGTACATAGACAGCGTTACTTAAACCTGACTGTTTCCCGATCAAATTTTTTAACAACAGTTTTTTAATGTTTATATCTTGTTGATATTACCTGTATAGAATATACCATGTACCGACACATTATTAGGCAGATGTGATAAAATAAATAGAAGCTTATACAAACTGATACCAGTTTACAAATTATACCTTCTTAAGTAATTTGTAGTATATATAGGGGGTTAAACTTTTTAAAACACCTGACAAGTCATCCAGGCCAATCATTTGGATGCAAATAGTACCATGTTCCTGCTCTGTAAAAGCTTTGTTATTGATAAAATGAGGATTGCAATATTCCCGATCTATAATAATCTTTGTTATCCGATATATTTCAGCAGAATATATAAAAAACATATCTTCCGAAAGAGCATGCAGACATTTTGAAAGGACAAGGTCAATTGCAAATAATAACATAATTTTTTGACGTAGTTGGAGTTGTTGATTCAAGAGAATGACTTCAACATGAACTATACTGCTGTGATATAGCTCAAATGTAAATCTAACATTTTATATGCTTAAATGTTATTAAGTTTATTTATTGTTTTAAAAAAACTGATGTGATCAACTTTCATCCTATTCAAAACTTGGTTATATACTGATGATTTAAACCATCCTATTAGTTGATATATTTTCTTTCTTTCTTTTAAATAATGTTTAAATGATTTATATCGCATTTGTACTGTATAGGTTAGCATTTGCCAACAGGGATGTGTAACATACATAATCATTTACCTGATATTTTTTTTTGAAAATTAAAACATACAAAATAAACGTTTATAATCAAATTGTAAATAAACAAAATTAATCCTGAATGTTTAATCAAGACTTAGTAATAGCTTCAATGATAAGGGGGTAAATAAAAAAATAAGATGCTTAATATTCTAACTCCGCTTTGTAGTGTTCGTTTTGCCCTTCAAGTTGTTCGTTCTATTGTTCGTCGGTTCATTCTCTGTATCCGCATCGCCACTTTAACCAAAGAAAGATTAAATCAATACTAGAACTCGTAAAGAATCTTTTAGTATCTTATGGCGAGTGCAAATTAATGTTTAGTCCTATTGAGTTTTATACAGCAAAATATGGACTGTGCCAATATATCCGATAGGGGAAAACATCTTGTATCCGGACCTCCTAAAACAATGGCCTTATTTCAGTGAAACTTTCATAGTATTTTTTTACCTTATTTCGTTATCCATCTCTTTCTTTCAGTTTGACAAATTTGTGATTTTTAAACGGCAAAACATGGAACTAAGTGAATTTTAAACAGATGGATATATGTAGTTATTTTTATGTAAAACAATAAATGATATTAGAAAGTGAGTGATTGACAAGTCATTTAAATATTGTTTAAAAGTTCTTAGTGAATATCATTTACTTTTGGAAAAAAATATGGTTTCTGTTGACTATGTTTTATTTTCATACGAATAGTTATACAATATAACGTTTATTATTTTTTTAATTTTAATTTTGAAGTGAAGTATGTATCCCTTGTTTCGCATATAATTTTGCTCCGGTAACCATATTAGAACTTACAGAAAATCATTATAAATTACATTTATATGTTTTTCTAATCAAACAACTTTAAAGGTCGATTTATAAATAGCTGCTTTAAATTAAAAAAATCAAGAATTGTAAATACTCACTTTTATAAATCATGATTGAATGTGGATGTTTATATACGTTAGTTTGAGATCTTGTATACATGTACGTAATGGGGTTTGTCACTTGCTTCAGTCTCTTTCCTGTCTGAGAGGTTACACATAGTCTACCAAATTAAGGCGTCCTTAGAAGGGACAAATATTGAACTCTTCTTATATATCGGACATATGATGCGTTTGTAACGGGCGATGTTTTAGTTGAGAATCTTCTGGTGAAAGGGAGATAACCGAAATTCAACTCTTAGTTACATGCAGTATTAGTATGTTAGACGAATCCGAAACTTTAGATTTGTATAACTAATGTAGTTTTGTGAATGTCGGACACTTATAAGAATCGTCCGGACTTGCAACATAAAAAATAATTTGCTAAATAATCTGACTTATTTCACACAATTTTACATTTAATGTATTTGTTATGTTAGGTTATTGGTAAATAAGATTTCTTTCTGGTAAATGTACATGTAAACAGAAAATAATATAATCTGCTCCATCGCTCATTAGAAATGCATTATACAACCGATACTTATTTTATGTGCTTACTTAAATTAATAGTTAGGTATGCATTATGTATAAGTAAAGTCGGACGTATTATGTGAAGTAACAGGTTAATTAATATATACCTTAGGTGACGTAATTGAACATTAATTTTGTCAATCATTTTATTACAATGCTCATTTTCTCGATGTTATGTATTTGTTTATTTATCTTACACCAGTTTGTTTCCCAGAATTTAGAAAATGATTATGCAAGATGTATTTTATTTATATAATTGTTGACATTTTTCACATATTTTTAATATATTACTTATGTTGTTCATGGCGTGTTTCCTCACTCAAATACAATTTTTGAAATCCGTGTCTTTTTATTGTTATTTATGGTGTTTTTATTCACGAATATGACGCAATATTAAACAGGAATCGGGAATAACTAAATCCCTAGGGTAAACACACTGCAACACAATTATCTACATAATGTAGATATTTTTTTGAAATTGATGCTGACATCAACAAAAGTCATGAGCATGAATAGACGCGAATAAATGAAAACGTATATAGCAAATAAAAAAACCCCGATTGTACCAGAAAAAGGAGCTATTTTTGTTTTGAGCCTCCGAGAAGAGTCAATGAAAGCCTTCAAAACTAGTGTGAACAGATTCTATTCAAGTGCGCTCAATCATATGCGGGTTGCGACTAGAATTAAACAACAAAACAATTGTATATTTTTTCCTAAAGTAAACGATTTCTGCACTCTAAATTACAGTCCCTCATTCTAAAGAGAAACATCGTCTACATCTTTCTTTAAACAGTATTTCTTCTACATGAATGGTAAACGCAGTAACCATTAACTATATGTTTCTCTAGATAGAAATACAATCTACTTTTAAGAACAACATTGGAAGTCGAAGTAGAAATAATTCTTACGCTGAAATGTTTGATCGACAACATACCTGTTGAATTAGGCAGATTAATATGCAAGCAGAGAGTCTGTATTCCAACGGTTACAACATATAATTGTGCGCCCCTGATAGAGGACGAGTTTTAATCTCCTATGAACCAGAATTTATACTAAACCTTCTCTCAGATAATAAGAGAACACCTAACAAAATCTTTCGATTTCATATTCATATATATTGGTAATGACCTTCACTAAAATCGATGCATACATCTCACTGATCTCTGTACATCTGAAATTAATAAAACGATAAAGACATGAAAGTCTGCTTTCTTATCTAAACATTTTCTTCAAATTAATGATGATGGACATTAGTAAACTAAGATCTATGATTTCAGTTTTCCTTCATCAACTTTTTATACTTGAGTAAATTCGTATCATCTGCGTCAGCCGTTGGTGTGTACAAACTGAAACGATAAGTCAGAACCTGTTCTCATTGTGGCGTCTTTGCTGAAAGAAGTTTCTCTGAACTCAAATGCTACTCCAGCAAGGGTATAAGGGATACCAACTGAAATTATTACTTAAAATTACATTCAACGGGCGACGTTATAAATTGGCTGCGCGTTATAGTGTCTCAACTTCTCAAATAACTACGAACATTATAAATCTGTCATATATGTCACATATATAAAAATAAGGAGATGTGGTATGATTGCCAATGAGACAACTATCCACCAAAGTTGAAAAGAAGTGGATGTAAGCAATTGTAGGCAACTATACGGCTTTCAACAATCAGATAAAACCCATACCGTATAGTTGGCTATAAAAGGCCCCCACAATGAAAAATATAAAACAATTCAATTAAGAAAACTAACGGCCTAATTTATAACAAAACGCGTTACGAAAAACAAGTATGACAGACATGAACCAACGACAACCACTTAACTACAGGATCCTGACTTGGAACAGGAACATAAAGAATGTGACTTGGTTAAACATGTTTGTGAGCGCTCAGCCCTCCCCAAACCTGGGACAGTGGTGTTACAGTACAACTTAAGAACAAAGTATAAAAATCCATGTCTACTCTTTCAATCAATCATTATTATCGGGTTTTGTCATGTTCCTTCTTGTGATACTTAGGGAGCTACCATTTGATTTTTATAGGGAAGGGGGCTAGGATGAAAATTTTTGTCCTGCATTTTTTTTAAGTTGTAATCTCTGTCCTGCCTATTTATTTTTCACTCTATTTGGTCCTGCCTTTTTTTTTATTAGTTTATCCTGACTTTTTTTACAAAAATTGTCATCCTGCCTTTTTTTTGGCAAAGTTGCTCATCCTGCCTCTTTTTTACTCCAAACTCCTGTCCTGTTTTTTTTTAAATTTCATCCTAGCCCCCCCCCCCCCCCCATAAAAATCAAATGGTAGCTCCCTTAGAACTGAATTTGACAGTGTGACAGTTGATGCATACATGGCAGAATACTGATCTTGTGTACGCAACTGACCTTATTCCAATTCATGTTCATGTCATTCTATTTATTTTCGCTACCATCTTGTTTTATATCTGGTAACTTATCTTATATTATACCACTGAATCTTAGATTTGTAAGGGAGCTGCCATTTGATTTTTATGGTGGGGGGCTACTAGGATGAAAAATTTTGTCCTCCATTTCTTTTTAGTTGTAATCTCTGCCTTTTTATTTTTCACTCAATTCGGTCCTGCCTTTTTTTTTTTTTTAGTTTATCCTGCCTTTTTTTTACTCAAAACTCCTGTCCTGCCTATTTTTTTCAAATTTCATCCTAGCCCCCCCCCCTCCCCCCCCATAAAAATCAAATGGTAGCTCACTAATCCAGTTCAAAAACCAGTATTTCCTCATATACAAAAGAAATTTAACACAGATATCTAAAAATAGAATGTTTATTGTTTGTTTACATTTGATAATGAGATATGATTTATGCAAGTTCATTGTTTAAATACTAGTTTTATAGCCTTTCATGAAACCGCCACTTGTACAATGTTGTTTAAAATAAACAGAATTGAACGAGGAAGTAAAAATAATTGGGAATTTACAGGTGTCTGAGGCAAAAAGAAAGTAAACATGGATTTTGAGCTGGTTATTTGATGCAGGTAAAATATAGGTGGAAGATACAAAAGAGATACCAATATAAAAACTAAGAAAATGAGGTATGATTGCCAATAAGACAACTATCCACCAAAGTTCAAATGAAGTGGATGTAAGTAATTAAAGGCAACCGTACGGCCCATAAGTCGCGGATGACGAACTGACAACGCCATGTCAAAAAACGAAAAACGACCAAAAGACAAACATCAGTATACAAATACAACATTGAAAACTAAAGACCGAGCAACACGAACCCAACCAAAAACCGGTGGTGATCTTAAGTGCTCTGGAAGGGTTAGCTGATCCTGTTCCACATGTGACACCTGTCGTGTTTCTGTTATAAAATACGTTGATATATGTACTTTATATAAAGTGATAAGGCATCACACAAAAGCGGACTGGTGACCGACTCTGATCTAACCATAACTTTTATTTGCAAGAAATATTCATTTATGCAAGTCACTGTTCCTACTGTTTACTCATTCAAGTAAATGATACAAAAGTATTCTAACATCAACAGTTCAGATTTGTTATTGTATATTCGATGAGAATCACTCTTTTTATGCAAAGCGTTTGTTTGTGTTCTTGAGCGTTTCACACATACACACACACACACACACACAAATCGCTCCACTCGAATTGACATAACCTGAAACGAGGTGAAAGGTGAGACGAATGACGGTCTTTATTTCACAAATTCTCGCGTCACCATGACTCAACTACATTATGTTCCAAAATATTATAATTCTTACAAAATTGTGTCAATGTAAATAACGTGCCTTCAAAACATTTCTAAAAATATTCATAGTTCATTTATTTCATTGTTGTTTTCCTATTTGCAAATGTTTGACTTGAGAATTAAGAAATTAACTTAAATGATAAGCACATTTTAATTTCTCATTCTTACTAGTAGCATCATTCTGAGAGAGTAAAGAGGCAAAACCATAAAATTTAAGGACATATAACTAATACCTTTATCATTATAGCAGATTTTCACGTCATTCACATACAATTTTAAAGGATAAGATAAGATATTTTTTATCCAATAAAAGGGCCCATGAAGAGAAAGTAATTTATTACAATGATTTAGATAATTGACACAATAATTTTAATAATCATATATAAATATGAATATAATCATCTCAATTCAAAGATCTTAAACCACAGCCAGATCAGAGCCATACACATATTAGTAAAAAAACATAACAATTATAGTTAATATTAACAGGCAAATATTCTCAATGGGTTATATATAAACATATCTGTACTATATTGATAGTTTTCTGAGTTCAAAACATTTATTAATATAAATTGCAATAATGTTCAATCCCTCTAGGTTTTCTTGAATAAAAAGCCAATTAAACTTGGCACGTGTGTTTAACATTTCGAAATTTTTACAACTTATCAAAATTTTATCGTAACTATAACTCTTTTCTCAAGACATTGACAAATAAAATGTTCTTCGTCTTCAACTTTATCCATTGTGCATTTTTTACATAATCGTTGTGATTTATCTATTATAGTTTTTTGCTAATCTATCCGTCTCTATTTTAGGGTGTGTACACTTATTCTGATCTTGCACAGTGCTTGTCTATCTTGAAATTCTTTTAATTCCAGATATTTTTCTGTACCAAAAAATGTTTGATTGAAAAATAAGTCAAGAGTTTACCTTACTCTGATTTAACAGTATTTTCTCTAAAATCTCTCCAATAATTAAGAAAACTTTTTATTACAAATATATGCATCATATAATAAACCATCCTTTGTGTTCTCTAACCTATGAACATATTTTAGCATTGCCAATGAAATATATAGGAAATCTTTCTGTTAACCCCAAGAATATATTTCATAAATTTTGTGTGTGATTTTTCAGATATGTCTTTTGAAAAAAAAACTTTTCTAAAATGTAATCGTTCTTCTTCTTACATGCAACTGAAGTGGTTGAAAACATTTCCCATATTTCACTGCCATACATTAAAATAGCTTTAATTGTATGGTCATAAAGGTGCATTACATTTGAGACACTAGGATTTGATGATGCTAGGCATTGTTGTAATCCAAAACCAGCTTTTATAGATTTCTTGTATAGCTCATCTTTACACTGTGTTAATTTACCACTAGATACAAAAGTAATTCCTAGGTACTTATAACACTTTACACTTTCAAGTTGTTTGCGCATTTAAATACAATGGACAATCAACATGTTTTCCTGGATTGTTAAAAATTTAAACTTTTGTTTTATTAAGGTTTAAATTTAAACACCATTTTGAGCAATATAATTGTAACCTATCCATTCTCTCTTGTAAACCCTCTCGTGTTTCAGATAAAATAACAATGTCATCTGCATACATAAGACTATCAATTCTGTTGTCGTTTAGATCAACAGAGTCAGTACATAATGAAAATGTTTCTAGCAGATCATTTATAAACAACTTAAAAATATTGGGCATCGCCCTGTCTTACTTCTATAAAAGTTCTAAAAATAGGGGTTAATTCATTTCTAATTTTTACGCATAGTTTATTTTTACTATACATGTCTTTGATAATAGAATAAAATTTGCCTGTTATATTTAGTTTTAAAAGTTTATATTTTATGCCTGCATGTTTAACAGTGTCAAATGCTTTTTTAATGTCTACAAAGCAAGCAAATAGTTTTACACTTTTTTTTTATTAATATATTTATCGGTCAGAGTTTTTAAAACAAATATATGGTCAGAAGTTCTTGATTTTTTACAAAACCCAATTTGGGATTTACTTATTATATTTTTTTTCTTGTGAAAACTTTTCTAATCTTCAATTTAAAATAGAATTGAATCATTTGCCAATGCATGAGTTAATTGCAATACCACGGTAATTTTCTGGTTTGCTTGGGTTACCGCTTTTTGAAATTGGTGACAAATATGCGGACGTCCACTGTGTAAGATATTGACCTGAAGACAGCAATAGACTGAAGAGTCTTTGACTGTAGCAGAGGATTTAATACAGAGGAACCTGCTTTCAACATTTCAGCAGGAATTTCATCCAGTCCACATGCTTTTTCACTTTTAAATTTAGATATTGAATCAGAAATTTCTTTTACTGGAATTCTGTAATTCATAGAAACTTTATTTTTTTTCCATATTTGCTACTAGAGCATTTATCTCATTTAAAGATGATGTATCTTACAAGTATTATTTTTTTTTAACTGTGGAACCTCAATTAATACTTATGCGTTGTAACTACATATTATAACAGATATTAAAGGTCAATTAGATATTTGAGAGGACAAACTTCTTTTTTATTTTCAAAAATATATAGCGCGGACTTTTGTTTCTCTCTCTCTCTCTCTCAATAATAACTTAATTATAACATTTTATACATGGTTGAATTCATTATTATTATTATTTTATACTTGTCTCTTGTTGAAGACAGTATATTGATATCTAAACGTTAACTGGTTTTGCGTGTCGTTGGGTTGCTGCCTCATTTACCTTTACCTCCTTTTTTCGTATGTATCAAAGGTTAAAATCTGAATAGGATGCTTCATATGGTCAACATAGAAAAAGCGCCAAGGAATACGGTTATTACCAGAGTATATGCCGCTTGGCTTTTGCCTCCATCTTTGTCGAACTTTAAAAATGAATGGCAAATAATAGTAGCACAATTATCGCTTCAGATATTATCACGAGGTGTACTTTCTTTTGGTAATCTTTAATAGCATTCTTTTTTAACTGTTTAAATTATTTATATTTAGAACTAACTGACATGAGGATAATATGGGAAACATTACATCAACAAATAACACCAAAAACAGCACCACCTCTAACCAACACAATAAACCTATGGAGGAGAACGAACAGTGCATTAACAGTGACGTCATAATTTCAAATTCTACCTCCGAAAATGAAGAGCAAACAAAGGTCGATGCTGCAAGACTACCTGTTGTCGATAATAACAATTTGAATAAAGACGATTTGGAATCAGAAGGTCAGAGTGAAAAACGAACCTCACAAAGAAACGAAGACGAAGTTTTTAAAACTTGCAGTTTAGAAGAAGAACAACAAAACTGCCATGATGAAACACTAGTATTGCTAACCGGAGAAATCATTGAAACATCAGTTACAGAAGTACAAGCATATGATCAACCAACAGACCAAAGAACTATTTTGCGAGAAGAGAAAAAAACAAGTAATTTTGGAGAGGACCAAAATGAACAAGAGTTAGAACAGATAAAACAAACTACCCAAAATGAAAACCGGAAAGTTACTGATAACGAAAGCCCAATAAGTTACCAAAATAAACAATTGTCCCTGGACGTTTATCGACAATGCCCGATATGCTTTGAGAGCGCCTACAAATGTCCGAAATTGCTCCCATGTGGACATACATTTTGTCTTCCGTGTTTGAAAGATCACGTCAGAAACAAAATTTCCGATGAGTCCGTCATTTGTCCAATGTGTCGCTCGAATATACACATTCCTGGCGATGGAGTAAAAGGATTTCAGGAAAATTATTTCGTGAGGGCTGAAAATGTATTAACCTGTGATGTGTGTCGCGAAAACGCGAGTGAATGGCTCTGTGGTGAGTGCGATAAACGTATGTGTGTAATTTGCCGAAAGAGTCACAAGTGTAAAAAATCTGCTTCAAAAGGACCAAGAAATTTGTTTTCGTTGAGCACGTTTAGTGATAGTAGTGATACTGATTCTGATTCATCTTCGCATTCTGTAAGGTCAGATGCGTCTTTACCTTGGTCTTTCACACGACCGAATGCACCATGGACAAAAATTCTTCTTACCGAGCATGCGCATTTTAAATTAGAGGAAGATACTTGTTGCAATGGTATTCTCCCCGTTTCAACAACCGAAGCTTGGTTATTCAAAACAAATGAGGAATTGGAAACCTGTTCTTTTGGATTATATAATATCAACGGAGACATGTTAAGAAATGTTGATATACAGCCATCAGCGTTAGGATTTGCTGTTGAGCAAACACATACAATCCTGGTTTCATTTGCCCAAGAAACTGTCGTTCGTCGTTTCGCAGGAAGCGAACCAAATATTATAATTCCCCCAAGTATATTTCATCCTATAGGTATCGCAATTTTTCCGGATGATTCAGTTGTTATAGCAGGTTTTGAAAAGGATAATGTCGCAGATGTTGTACTTGGTTGTGTAAAATGTTTTATGCCAGCCGGGGAGGAACTGTGGAACTTCAATACGGGGTATGACATCGTACCAATGCGAGTTTGCGTACTGGGGAATGATCTAATCTGCCTATGTTTTTCGGAAAATCATTTTGTTGATGTTCGCTTGAAAGATGGTAACGTAGTCGGAAAATATTATGGCAACGATTCCGATGACGACGAATCATTTACGCCTGTTGATTTATGTATTGGATCTTATAGTAACAGACAAGTTGTCTTGGTAACAGATAGTTATTCAGACACCATTCACATGATTTCATACGCAGCGGAATTCGTTGGACTTCTTCTTAGATCCCCAGTATCAGGGTCGTCAGGTTTAGGGGAACCAGGGGCTATAGGGTCTGATTCAGATGGGAAGCTTTGGGTTGGGCAGAGGGAAAGTAATGAAATTTCTATATATAATGTTTGTAAATATTCAAATGTAATGCAGTAATAAGAATAGTAGAAGTTAACATAATTAAAATAATTAAACACGCATGTCGCTCAGTGTCGTTAATTTAAAAAAAATGTTGTTTTTTGGAGGGGGTAATAGATAATGTACATGATTAAAAATAAGACATACTATTGAAAAAGGTTTTGACAATGCACAACATTTTGAAAGTAAAGAAAAAGAGATATAGAAGTATTATTGAATGGTCTTTTGAATAAATTAAACATAAGATCCCCCCGGGTTTTGGTGGGGTTTGTGTTGCTCAGTCTTTGGTTTTCTATGTTTGTGTTTTGTAATATAAACTGGTGTTTGAATTTTGATCGTTTTCAGTTTTTTTTTGCCATGGCATTGTCAGTTTGTTTTCGACTCGTGAGTTTGAATGTCCCTTCCGTCTTTTACAGGGCTGCACAAGATATACTTAAGAATAATTTTCGACTGATGTCAGAAATAAAGTTTCATACATTGATTTTCAGTTTTCTTTTAAAGAAAATAGAACATGTTCCTATAATCAGCAAACAATTACTCTGTTACTAAAATAGAACATCTGATTAAAATCAATGAAAAATTTGAGTATAAAATAATGATGAATGATGTAAAGAGGGGTTTAGCTGCCAACCTTTTTGAAAATGATGCATCATACCAATGTATGATCTCCTTTAGTAACTGACCCAACCCCGACAAAAAAGTGTCCTCATCGTTACAAAAGAAGAAAATCCAACACGAAAAATTCAGAAAATTATTCTTGAAAATCATATATAGAAAAATGCTTATTACCATAATTGCTATCAACATAACTGTCACCGTTTAAAAAAGTATTTTACCAAATGTATTCGTGAATTAATTTTTTCGGCCGATAACCACAATAAGGAGAAACAAATTTTACGGGTCTTTCGGTTCTTTATTTCATCATTTATCGATGTAAGCTACGAAAAATATGAACTTCAAATAACAATAATCATAATTGTTATATAGTTCTCTAGGTAGTTTATAACATTTTCTCTAAAAAGGCATACTCATGATACTCAATTGAGAAAAAGAGTACAGGGAAAATGTTTAATGTCAATGGCCCACAATCTATTTCACACTACGACCATTTAAAAAAAAAGTATTTTTTAGATAAATTCTGGGATTTGAAATTAAAGATTTGATGATTTTAAGACAAATTTAAGAACGGCCGATTTTATTTGCTTTCTAAGTACAAATGATAAATTTTTACCTATTTTGACAGAATTAAACCAGTAATAATTCAGAAATGAGATGAATGAGTTATTTTTTTCTCAATTTTCAGTGGTTATAGTTCAACGAGCCAATTTGTATGCAAAATTTATCCAAAATTTGTGACATACATGTATCCCATTTACTGTACCTTTATCTTAAGCCGCCACATTCGTTTAAGAGAATGGTAAATGTTCTGTTAACTGCTCCAATCGGATAAAGAACATATGAGAACTCGAATTCAATTGTTTCAATACAAAATATTCTAGAAATGGAGCCTTTCTGCAAAGTATTAAAGTTAGAATATGTCAATTGAAATTGTGTCATGTGGGTAATTTTTTTATCCTTTTAATGTATAATAGAAATAGACCAAGGCAATTGCAGACAATAAAGAATTTGTAGGCTGCTATCAAAACTTGAACAAAAATGATGTTCAGTAATACACAAACTTGAGATAAGTACCGATTTTTTATAATATGTTTACACTTTGTAAGGATAGTAGTACAGTGTCTATCTTAAGCATACACCTACATAGATAAGTTATCTCTAATAACTAACGGTTATCATTTACATTTACTGTTATGAAACAATCCGGATTCTGACTCGGAATAACACGACGGGTGTCTTTTGTTGAGCAGGTATTACCGACCCTTCCGGAGTACCCCTAGTTCCACCCTTGGTTGTTGATAGGGTTTGTGAATCTCAATCTGTGTTTTTTTATGGTGTTGTATGGACTGTTGTTATTCCTTTCGGTCATTTTTATTTTGTAACTTTCTTCGACTGATGAATAATGATCGTCTGTTTCGTATTCTTTTACCTTTTAGGGATCTGATCCTCATCTATGTAATGTGAAAACATTATGTATGAAGATGAATGAAAAGAGATGTGGGTGCTTACTTCACCGAGAAAGCAATCAGAAAACACAATAAAATCAGAAATAACAAACAGAGGGCAACAATAATCGGTCTTCAACAATGCACAATGTATATATAGTATATCTTTAGCATTAAAAAGTGTTAAATCGAGTCAAGAAAAGGAGTTTGAAAAATTTATAAGAGACTATCAAAGATCTGACATCAATAAAATAATTCTATCAGAAAAGGCTGTGATATAAAAAAAATAGCACTGACGATGTTTCTTACTTGGGACAGGTGCATTAAAGTCAGTTGTATTTTGAGCATTCCGACCTCTCCCTTTTTCCCAAGTAAGGGGAAAGGGAAAAAAAGGTTAAGAGTAGAGCGTGCTTTGCAGTAAACATGTTAGTTCAGAATCGAACATCGATCGTTTTAAAGATAACAACAAAGAATGCTCACAGTAAATGGAAAGCAACTTCTAACACTTTCGTGTTCTGATAGATTTCGTACAATTACGTCCCGAACATTGTACAAAAACACGACGTTGCACAATGTTTAAAGTACACCCGTATACTTCTGTACATATTGGAATATAGAGAAAAATTTCATAATGACCGAAACAAGCGTGTTTTAAACGAATATACACATTTTGTTTAATTCAGTTTACTTCAACCTCACCCCTCCCCATACCTAAATAGTCTGATATAAAGACTTTGTAGTCCAATTTTGAAAAAAAAAAATACACCGGGGAAGAACACGGCTAGGAGCGTGCCACTGTATGTTAAAACATTCATTTGGATCAAAATTTATATATGCTTAAACTGAAAAAGGTACCCAAATTTACATACATGTATATATTTATACATTTTACACTTAATATAATCCTCCTTACTACAAAAAAAAAATATTAAAAAAAAAAATCATAGCACAATATTATGTCACGTGTTTTATACCTTCAAAAACGCAGATCCTTTTCTGTGTATCTCCCCCTTAAAAATAACTACATATTGTTGGGAAATAAACATATAGAATGATATTGAAGGTAAACCACCATCTACCTCCCCACGGGAAAAAGGCACAAAAACAGATCTATACATGCATGCACTAGCAAACTTGCATTTAAAGATTTAAACATGTTAAAAGTCATACATGTATAATTTTATTAGCGAGCATTTGATTACAGAGATGTAATATCTGTGACCCAGTTTAGTCAACTATAAACACTGGTATATCCAGTTTTCATAAATAGATAACTAAAAACCTTGAACTAGGTAACGGTATGGTTCAATGACCCGTTATTAATAAATAAGTGCAGATAAAAAAGAGAATTGTTAAGTATTATATTTTACCACAAAAGGACAAATAAATATTTTACCGGTGTTTTAATCAATATTTCGTTCTGATTATAATGTTGTTTATTTGAATAATAAAATTGATTTTGCGCTTTTAAACAGGAAGTTCAATGCATGAGTGAGGTCATATTACGAATTTTAAATTATAAAGGAGGTAAACAATGCCAGCTATACCAAAAGAGGCGTTTGACAAGCATGCTTATCTCACCACTGAACTAAGCAACTACATCGGCAGTTCGATTGACAATGATCAGTATCAACGACTTTTAAATAGGCTGAAGTCTGTACTTACTCCAAAAGACAGACAAAATGCTAATACCATTATGGACATCCTGGAATCTATGGAGAAGAAAAGCTATATTGCACCTGGCAAATATGCAGATTTAAAAAAGATTTTAAATGAATTTGACGAACGAATAGTTCGAGATGTAATAGAACCAATAGAAGAAGAAATTAGCGCTATCTTAGAAAAGAATTCAACCAATACTGCTCTACCCCCTGGACAAAGTGATAGTAGTAACAAAGGTCAGTATACCTCTTTCGATTTCAACAAGTACTTGTTTCAAACATGATTGGATTTAAAGAATAAGTTATTAATAGTTGTATCTATTCTAAAATTACTACAACGGTGTGGTCCTCTCGTCCTGTAAAGCACTGGTGGGAAATTTCCAGTGGTACTTTTGATAGTATTTGAAATCACCATTCACAACCACTGCAAATTAAATGTAGTTTTCTCTTTTCAACAACTTTTAATTATTTTTCTTTCAATTGTTTAAAAAATGTCTTGTATATAAAATATATAATAACAAACTAACAAACTGCTATAAATAGATACATGCTAAGAGTAAAAGTACATTTCTTTGAAGTTCTTTTGAGGTACATAAAACCATAAAAAAAACCCAATGTATCTTGTTTTTTTTTATGTTGCATCACAGAATTTTAATGTGCAATTTCGCTGTTTTTTTAGAAGCTGTTGCATCAAGTTCTACTGACAAACAACCACCAAAAAAGAAAAGGAAAATATCCGAAATTGGTAAGCACTACAGTTTTTTTCCAAGCGACACAGAAGGTACCAATGGGGCAATCAAAAACGATATCTTTAAATAAAAACAAATACCCGAAAACACCATGGCCAAAAAGAAAAACGACGAAAAGATATGTCAACGAAACTACACAGATAACTAAGATTAAGCATTTAATTTACCGACTCTATCAAAAACTGAGGGGTGAAATCAAGTGATCCGGAAGGGTAAGCAGTTCCTCGTTCACTAGTGGCACTTAAATGTTACTCCTCATTGCAATTGAAAAGTCGGTGATTAGTCGTATTCTGTGATTCCAAAATCGAAGAAAAGAGGACGAGATTGTGGCTAAAAATGGGACATATACATGATCATCGGTGACACAGATATTGCATAACGGTCAGTCAAACCATGATAACGTCCTTAAATGTTTTGAAGGGATGGCTCCAAACTATGTAAAAAGCATTTATTTATATACTGTGATAAGAATTTGTATAATGTCTAAGGTACTAAAAGGAGAAGGAAAAAGTAATAATGATACCATTTGGATACAATGAAGAAAAGAAAATTGATCTTACTTTGAAAAAAAAAGTTAATTTAAGTCGTAATGATTTAGTATGATATTAAACAAAAGTGATAGAAGAGAAATAATTTTAGTTATATTATGTTTAGTTAGACTATATTTTTGAATAGGGAACCAAAAGGATGTAACTAATATTATTTTTTACAAAATGTTTATTTTCCATAATTATTACTGGTAAGATACCCCCGACCAACCGGGTAAGGTCTAGTCAGAGGAGTGCAGAATCCTTGCCCATTTTAGATGATTTTTTTTCTCTTTATTTTAAGGTTTCAAGGGGTTGCGAATGACATAAAACTGAGCAGTATATTGCATGTATTGGGCATTAACCGCCAGTGTTCTGTAATTAAAGAACTAATTAAACAGGGGGTGCCAATAACAAAACATCCAACCCTCTTTCCCTAAGGGTTAATCCTTATCTTCTCAAACCTTCAATACGGTAAACTGCAGTCCTTTGTGTACAAGCTAAATTCGTTTGGAAGACTAAGTCTTCATAATTGATCAGTTTATTATCATTTAGCTGTATTGTAATTATTATACATATCTGTTGTTTTATATTTGTTTTTAATTATATTTTTCAAGCAATACCGGATTCAGCTAAGTATGTGTATGAGAATTCCGGTCAGAAAGGTCTCATGTTGATACTGAATTTCTCTCGAGACCGAGAAGGTACGTGATAGACGTCTTTATACTTGATTGTATTATTTTCTTGATTTTATAGAACATGACGACTTCATGGTACAAAATATTCATAACAATATATGAATAAAAACGTGTACATAAAAACAATATGCTACAAAATACAGATGACCAGTACGCATAAATATATTGTAGTTCAATTCAATAATTTATTTTAATCTTGTCTACCAATAATATACGGTATAACATTACATTAATTGTAAGCTGTTATAGAATGAATAAGAGAGCCAATACGGCCATAGAGAATTAAAAGAGACTATAACGTTGCAAATAATTCGTATGTATATATACTTTAAAACTATTATATTTTTTCGTTTGGGCTTGTATTATATTTTCCTTCGGGTTTATATGATCCGTTCATCCTATTTCGACTCTTTAAAATTCAAGAGTCTATCCTAAATTGAGGTATATTATATGGCCTTCCAAATACCGTTTCGATCCCTAACATCACTGAAGAGACATTAATTGTCGAAATCCGGATATGGTGTACAAAATTTTGCCCCTCATGTTTGCGGTATACCATCTTCTCAACAAGTTTATTGTTTTCTGTTTGGTATTAGATTTAATATAAGATCCACGTTACATTTGGCAGACTGGTGATCAATTTATTTGGCAATCGTCAATGGCAGTCAGCAGGGTTTAAGAACATCAGTTGTTCGACCTGTTAGTCAAATGCGTTTTGTTAAAATATACTTTTTACTTTTTTGGTCTTTTGGAAAATGTTGTTTGTGCTGTATTTAGACCCCTCTACCAAGAAATTTGTTTTACATGCACACGTATAAAAATTGCGGTTTTTATCCAACGCAATCATAGGTTTTAACGTTGTTTTCAATTTAGACACGTTTATACTTTAAAACTTATATACAGACTATTTACAGAATAAAATATTTATTTACGTATATTTGAAATAAGATAACACACTTTGTCACAGTACGACTCATAATTATGATACAAATGGCTATAAATAAAAAAAAACAAATTCTAGGATACAGAACATTTCTCGTTTGAATTGTTTCACATTTTTCATGTCGGGGTCTTTTATAGCCGACTATACAGTATGGGTTTTTCTCATCTTCATATAAGGAAATACTGGCTATAGTAAAGTAACAAGGGCTTCTTATTCTTCTGTAAATTTTTTACGTGCATCACAGACTCGATTCGTTTAAAGTTTCGAACCTCTCTGCTTTTATTCTTAATAATACAACAGTGAACACCAAATCGACATTTGGCAAAAGAACTTCTATGTATAAATGGCATTAGCATTTTAGTAGGGTGCCCAGTCAACAAATTTGATCGATTTGGGTTAACGGAATAACACACGGCTATATTTTATACCATTGGAAAGAAGAGAACAAGCCTCGTCGAAATATTGATGTCGTCGTTGTCTTCAGTGGTCACGATTTTCTAAAATTTGGGTCAAAGGTCAAATCTAAAATTTCAAGGAAAACGTAGAGTCACGTTTAGACAGCTGGCCACCCCTACATATTTGCGTTTATAGCAAAATAAATTCGAATAATTCAAAGGATTATAACTAAAGTTTCTATATTTAGGACTTATTTGATAATATTATTGCCAAATATGGTTCGAGATTGACATTTGTACTTATAGGGTGCACATTTACAATTTTCATTCAGCTGTTAAATAACAGTGACCTTGACCTTTTAAAAGTTCCAAAACCGGAATTTTACACAAGATTCAATACAAGCGATCTTTGAGATGTTTTTTTTTAGATATTAACATTTATAAGTTGCCCTCCCAAAATGTTATTTTTTCCGCCTTTTGATAGAAGGTGTTCGTCATGATTTTCTGGGTAAATATCCAATTTTCTTTTGGTGAACGTGGAAGCACATCAAATAGTACTTAGTTCCAAAACTGATGAATATTAACGCAGAATTGATTGAAATACCAGGTCTGAGTATATATTTGCTTTACAGAAATAAAAAAACAAACTGCAAACGGTGAAAAAGGGGGAAGGTTTATGTTACAAGTTATGAAAACAAAATGAGAATTAGAAACAGCAGGCTAATCACTCCAACTTACACACTTATATCAAGTGTAATGTACATGACTTATCGAACATAAATTGGCCTACAATTGACATGAAGTTAAAGATTATCTACAAAAAGAAAGTTTTGTACAGCATCGATGTATTTTACAAACACTTGTAAACAACATCAATCTAATTAAAATATAGATCTCTGATTTTGTTATCCTCATTTGAGCTTATATATAAGAGCACGCGAGTTAATAAAGATCAGAATTTTAATAAGAGCGAAAAAACATGGAAAAATTACCGAAGCTAGTAGTAGCTATTACGTTTCATTGCCTACTGTGAAGTTGAAAGCCCGTCGACTAGGTTTAGGTAAGAGAGCTAATTTCAGTTGTTCTTTTTAAATCGCATTCGACGCAAGTAGCAGAATGCGAGGCATACAGAATACAATCTGATGGTGGTGGCGGCAACACCGTAAACTATTTGTATAGCTTTATATTTCAGAGGGCAGAGGAACTGGATGATTCATACTTTGTATATAGATCCATTGTGTTACGAAGTTTCCGTCATATAATCATTATCCTGGACCTCATATTCATGGTTAAGTGACTGCTAAAAAACTGTATAGCTTTTTTCGTCATGTGAATGTCTCAATTATCACGAGTTCTAGGATAACTATATTTGGTTACTAATATATGGTATCCTTGCAAGGTCTACATGACCGTCAGACATGATTCACCTGACCTCGACCTAATTTCACGGATCAGTGAATAAGGTTAAGTTTCAGTGGTCAAGTCCGTACAGTCTCGGATAGTAGTGGGTTAAATATATTTGGTGTATGGAATGGTAACAAGGTGTACGTGATTTTGAGGTAGAGTTCATTTGACCTTACCTCATTTACATGGAACATTGATAGTGCTAATTTTATGTAATACTTGTTGTATAATATAAAAATTAGGAGATGTGGAAGCAAGCAATTATAGGCAACCGTACAGCCTTCAAACAATGGTCGGCTATAAAAAGGCCAGTTATGAAAAAAATGAAAGAATTCATTTGAAAAAAAAACTAACGGCCTGATTTATAATAAAAGCTAGTTTTTACGGTAATGATGTTTATGATCATACTTTTCTCAGACTATTGATGACGTCCTTTCATTAGTTTTCAGTAAGGGAACACCCATTTGATTTCGAAAACAGGGAGGGAATGAGGATTTTGAAAATGAATTACTTGGCCTGGTATGAACTGAAATAATTGACTTTGCACAAGACAGGATGAGAATGAACACTCTTCAACATGAAATGCAGGATAGTTGAGGATATGAATGTGTACAAAAGTTAAAATAAATTTTCGCACCGCCAGCCCCATCCCTTTCTTCAGAATATAAACTGTTCTACCCTAACGGCGATTACTATTATATCGGTACTTTGTGTTTTTTGTCTTCATGTTAGTTGTTTTTGTGCTTCATGCCGATTTGATAAGTCAAGCCATTTCAAACTGTTTTTCAGCAGATTTTTCTTATGCTGTGTTGTTATACCATTGTTCAGGTAAGGGGAGGGTTGAAGGATCACAAACATGTTTGACCCCTCTAAATTCTGTATATGTCTGTCCAAAATCAGGAGCCTGCAATTAAGTGGTTGTCGTTGGTTGCTGTCTGTTGTATACGTTTTTTTTTGTTGCACGAACGGTGGTATATTTTTGTTGTCGTTCCCACCGAGAGGGTTTTAGGTCGAAAACATCATACAAGACTTTTGATGTGCTATATTCCGGGTGTGAAACAAAACCGACCAATTTGATTCTTATACTACAATTATAACAAAATATTTATTCAATAAAAAGTTTAAAGTTTTGAAAAACAGCCACAAAACAGATTTCTTCGAACAAAGTGACAATCTATAAAGTTAGCTGGCTTTTCACAACAAATAAATCAACCACACAACAAGCAAAAAAGACAAATATTTTGAGTGACCTCTGTCCTTGTTAATGACCTAATAGTGTAAGCAACAAAATGATTAATGGCACGAGATAATCCGTGTTTAATCAATTATACCAAAATGTTGACTTAATTTGTGTTTTTAATTTGCTAATTTCTTCATAACGATTTTTATTTCACGCATACAATTTGGCACACACATGCACTGTGTCTTATTGCTTAAATCAGAGTAAAAAATATTGTGATAATACACGTAATAATTTTGCTTTCGATGAAAATAGGGTAAATTTCGGGTAAAATTTTACTCTTACTAAAATGCTGAAATACTTATATCAAAATCACTTAAATACTTCCTCCGATTTCGTTATATGATATATTTAATATATAAACTATATTATAGGTACTGTTTTAACTACCAACAAAGAACGCAATAATTTTATATTTCATGTTAAAGATTCCCCGTACAATACGGTATCTGGTGGTACCCTGTAAAAACACGAAATTTAGAAAATCGTGACCACGGGAACTTACGACGACAATCATGATTATAAAATATAATGATTTTCCTATAATGTGCAAAAATATCAGCCGTGCGTTATCCGTTAACTTAAACTCGTTAACTAGAGGATTTTTTGGACATTGGGCACCCTACTATTTTAAAATACGTTCGTTTCAGTTTCGAAATTTTTATAAATAGATAATATGTACAGAGCTTATTATCCTCTTTGCATGATATACATGTAGCTCTTTTTGAGTATTATGCCAATGCTCAACATAGTAACTGGTCATTCTCGACCTAATATTTTAACAACTGAAGTTGTATCATTAATATAGTCTGTAATGATACCCACATGTTCCTTACATGGACATTCCATTTTATATTCAACTACGGTTTCCTCTCGTAATGTATTAGATACAATATAAAGGTAACAAAGAAACAGGCCGGTAACAACCGTTGCCGGATAGTTTTTCTGCACGAGTAGTCAGGTCAAGGTCCGAGGCAATAGCCGAGGACCTTGACCTGACTACAATTGCAGAAAAACTATATGGCAGGTTGTTTCCGGCCTGTTTCTTTGTTACCTTTGTTTTGTATCTGACTTGTACGACGTTTCAAGAAAGAAGTAGTACATTTTGCATTTAGAAGAGGTATCAAAACATTTTAAAAACTTGCATGGCTATATACTAGTTAATGTAAGTTACAGTTCAAACACATTTTTTTTTTTCACTTCCCTTCAGCCGAGAGTTATTTTCTCAAAAAATTCAAGAATCTAATAATTTTATAAAAAAAGAACCATTTCAAGTAAAAGATGAATGTTGTACACATTTGAGACTTTTTAAAATGCAACTTCGAAAGTAAGTAATGTATAAAAAAGATTTCAGAGGTAAGCAAGCTAACATTTGATTTTTATTGGGGAAAAAACGAAAAAGGGGGGGGGGGGGGGTTAAAATAAATTTAAAATAAACAGGCTTGATCCTTTTTTTATTGAAAAAATGCATGATGTCCCATTCCATCCCCCCATTCCCCCTTTTAAAAAATCGTAAAAATCGTACGTTTGCTGCCAAACATACGAATTCAATACATACGAATTCAACTTATATATGAATTCAATAACAATATAAATGTATCAAAAGAATGAATTTCCTATTTCATTAGTGAATGAAATGTAATGAAAAAATGGATTTTGTCTTGTTATTAGATATATATAGGCATGCAATTTGTTTGGTTTTTTTTAAATTTCATGCTTACAGGTTTTTATATGTCTCTGATAGTGTTGATCAGGATTAAACACGTGTTACTATATGATCCAATCGCAGCTTACCGTCCAAAATTGATGACATAAGTTGAATGATTTTTTTTAAAGATTTGCTGCCTATTTGAACATGTATTACACGGACACTTTTTATTTATAGGATCAATCGTGCATTGGTGAGTTGATAGGGATTTTATCTTTTGATAAGATTTGATTTTTTTATAAATATTTCCTGTCTTTTTTATTGAAATATAAACGTCGGTATCATCATTTCTTTACTTTCAACATTGTCCAGAATACTATTCATGTCCATATAGTGAAAAAAAAAACGTTTACGGACCGACCATTTAGCTTCAAAAGGGGGGTATGTTCTTTTCTGAGTAAGAAAGTTATTTAGTTTTTCAACGCTATCACCCAAATATTTTTTTTTTCGAAATTAGCACTATTATAAACTGTATTTATTAACATTATGATTTTGTCATCTGCTTGACCACAATATATTTTTTCTCATAAAATTGGGGATCAAAATATTTTTTTTAGGAAAAAACCATAACCCCCCCTTTTGAAGTTAAAGGGTCAATCCCTTAGTGTACTGATATGAATAGTTACTGTAATTTACTGGAATTGTTTGGAAAAAAAAATTATTGATGCTAACGTAAATATTTTAATAAAAAAGACAGGAAATATGTCGGTGAAACAAAATTTTCAAATCTTATTGAAATTTAAAGTGCCCTTGAACTCACTGATCATGCACGAGTGATTCTATTCATAAAAAGTGTCCGTGTAACAACTAAAAAGTGTCCGTGTATCATCTAAAAAGTGTCCGTGTAACACCCGTTAATGTACTGTTTTTATATAGCTCTGCTGGGGGCAAAGTCGTACAAATCTTTCTACATGAAAATCTTTCTGCTTAACTGGTTAGATATCGCGTTTTTATATGTCTGTGACATCAGATGTACATGCACGTGTCTGGAAGACTAGTTCGCTCATTACTGAAAGAAGCTATAATTTCATTTATATATTATGATATTTTAGATTATTTTTCCATCTTATTGAATCATGAATCTTGAAATATTCCTGCACTTATATTCTAATATTGGCGACAGAATGCCTAGCTCAACTTTTGAACTTTTGATATAAGATGTTGTATAGCATTGAACACATTTATAATGGTACAACTGCAGCATCTCAAGTAATATTGATTGTTTGGTTTCAAACTGAGTCTGATACGATTTTACGCGTTCTATGGCTAACTGAGAACCTGCTATTCAAGGTAAAAGGGCATTTTTTTTCATATAAATTTCCGACCGTTATAATTGTGTAAACCTTGTTAAATCTTTTTTTCATAAACACTATAAAAAGAACATGCATTTTCGTTTGGTGTTTTTTTTCTCTCATATAAATCAGATCTTTGGTTTTCTCGTTTGAATTAAACTTTGTTTTGTTGAGACCTTTATATTTTGCTTTGTGGTATGGGTTTTGCTCATTGTTGACCCCCGTACGGTGACCTATAGGTGCTTCCACCAATGTCATTTGGTCTCTGGTGGATATACATACATGTATATAACTGTCTCATTGGCTATCATACCTCATCTGCCTATTTTGTAGAAAATGATTTTTTTCATGCATTATATGTAGTCATATTTTCGTTTCTCCTTTGAAATCTCTTTCAAACAAGAGCTAAGCCAGATCACAAAATAAAGCTTTACATTCGCATACGGTTAAAAAGTATAGTTTTCAATATAAAGTACGATTGTACCTGAAATCTCATTAACACTACTTTAATTTGTATAAGTGCAGGAAGTACAGATGACGTGGAAAAACTTACAACTTTCTTCGGAGGCAAGTTTGATTTTGAAATTGAAAACCAACCCGATTTGAAAAAAGAAGATTTACAGAAGGAGTTGACTGGATTTAGAGAAGAGTACCTAAACAGTCCAAGACATTCAAAGAAATACTATTGTTTTGTTTGTGTTATAATGAGTCACGGGAATGAGGTAAGGTTTATAAGATAAGATAAGATTCTTTTTTGAGTGATTATACACATTATGAAGAATCTATTAAAAGTTTAAATTCACGCTATCTATTATTCGATTATATAAAAAAGATCTAAATTTGACTGTTGAAAGCGGAGAATATCGTATCGCACGAGAAACCGTAAATAACTTGTTTTTCCTATGATTTCTACACGATATCAAATGTACGCAAATTTTAACGTTCTTTTTAAACATCTGCATAAATTGTATTATTTTTGTGTGACGTCACCAGGAAAGTCTTCTCATCGTCCCAATAGTTTCAATATCTTAAGACTTAATTATCATTGTACATGAATGATGAATTTTTACATGATTTTTTTCTTCGTATATGCTAGTGACCGAGAGAATCATTACGAAGTGATTTAGGTTGTGCAACTAATAAATAGGTTATTAGATATTTATTTGAATTTAAAAAAAAAAATATCTTTATAGAAAAGCACAAGATAATTCTTTGTATAATCCGTCATTATGTAAAATAGGAAAAACCGTGAAATGACTAAAATTAATACCAACCAGCAATAATACGTGAAAACTGAATTGGTGTCGAAAAGAACAGAGATTCAGACATCGCATCAAATAAGGAATCCAAATACGGTCAAAGGTTATTCAACAATGAATTCAAATTTGATTATTTTATCAAGAATATAATCGTAACAAGAAAACATTGATGCTTTTACTTATACACTCATTCATCAGAAATCAATTGGAATAATACAGAGTTACTTAGATGTGGAGGTCCGTTTGGGACCTATTAAGAAAACAAATCAAATAAACATATTGTGCACACAATTTATTTTTTTGGTGTGCTCCACTTATTATAAAGTTCACCAGCTAGTGAATAAAAATGATATTATGCATAGGTAATCGACATTAACTGTCATGCAAAAGCCCTTTTTACTGTAAAACAAAACTGTTTAAAATGATAGCAACATGGTGTTTCGCCTCCGATAAAGTCTACATTCCGTGCGATAATACAGTACACTTCGTTGATTTATGGGGAATTATGCATGTAAACCTTTGGTTAGGAAGTAATACACTATATTTAATATTTTTATTACAGAAAGGAATCATGACCGATGATAAACAGGCAATTTCAATCGATGAAATAACCTCATACTTCAAAAATAAAGAAACACCTCACTTTATTGGTATGTTTACATAAAAATAAGAAGATGTGATATGATTGCCAATGAGACAACGCTCCACCAGAGACCAAATAACATAAAGGTAACAAGTATAGTTCACCGTACGGCCTTCAGCAATGAGCAAAACTCATACCGCATAGTAAGTTATACAAGACCCCGAAATGACAAATGTAATACAATTCAAACTATAAAACTAATGGCTACGTTCATATATGAATATAAATTTATTTACGTGTTCTGGTACCCTTAAATATATATACCAAATTAAAACAGCGAATGATAAATCTGCTTTTTATTCCTTCAAGGACTTTAATATACGTTTTAATTAGATCGCAGTAGTGGATCCAGGATAGGGTGTAGTGTTATACGTCCCCCCTTTGATCGCCAAAAAGCTTTACAAATCTCCTGTTTCTCACGATTTGTGATTTTTTAGCATAAAATCGTCCGAAAATGTTTGTGCATCGCTCCGCTCGGCGGTATATATTAAGTTTTCTGGAATTAAGCCCCCTTTCAAATATCCTTGATCGGCATGTTCTATAAGATGCATGTTATACACGCAATTCATTTGGTGTTAATTATGCGTATATGCAAACAAAGTTTAAAGGGAAAGATATATCTTGACTTGAAAGTGTTTGCATCGTTGAATATTTAGTCTATTACTTTCAGAAAATGAGAACAGAATTTAAGCAAAAAATGTATCTTTTACATTGAAATGGTGAAATAGATCTATTAGGTTTACATTCGAATGAAAAGCCAAAATTAGATTAAAGTCAGAATGAATTCCCCCACAAATATATATCTTTTAAATGCAAATCATAATGAATTGCCAAAGTTTAACATAGTTTTATTTGATTGAAATCAGAATGGATTGCCCAAAATAGATCTATTAGGTCCCGATCAGGATCATAATAGACTGTTCAATATAGATCTATTAGATTTAAATCAAGTTGGATTGCCCATTTGCCCACAATATATCTAGGTGATGCATGAGAATGGATTGCCAAAATTATATTCTAAAAAGATTTCCCAAAATAAATCTATTAGTTTCAAATTAAAATGGATTGCCCAATTAATCGGATTCAAATTTGAATAGATTGGTCGAAATAGATTTATTAAATGCAAAGCAAAACGGATTGTCAAAAAAAGATTCTTTTAGCAAATCATTAAGTAGATTTATTAGATTCAAATCAAAATAGTTTGCCCAAAATAGATCTCACGGTAGGTACAATGTATAGTGCTCGTCTGAGATCGTATTTTTTTGAGTGAATCGGTTCACTTTTATCGAGTGTAGATCAGGTTTTTTCGGGTAATATTACATATGTACCTGCGATTACACCGATTTACTGCTATTTCGCGAGTATAATTGTTTCCTTCGTGACTGTTCATCTTATTCTGAATGCTATTGATATAAGAAGATGTGGCATGAGTGTCAATGAGACAACCTTCCATCCAAGTCCAAATTTTATAAAAGTAAACCATTATAGGTCAAAGTACGGTCTTCAACATGGAGCCTTGGCTCACACCGAACAGCAAGCTATAAAGGGCCCCAAAAATTACCATTCAAACGGGAAAACCAACGGTCTAATCTATATAAAAAACGAGAAACGAGAAACACTTATGAACCACATCAACAAACGACAACTACTGAACATCAGATTCCTGACTTAGGACAGGTGCAAACAATTGCAGCGGGTTTAAACGTTTTAATGGTACCAAACCTTCACCCTTATCTGAAATAATAGTGTAACATCACAACATAGAAAAACACACTATAAAATATCAATTGAAATGGCTTAACTCAATCAAAAGACACATTAACACCGGTGAACATACACTGAACAAATAAATTTGATCTATGAAACAATGCAAATACAAAATAAATAAACTAAGGGAAGAATAATTAAAGTAACATGTTATACCTGTGCGAAATGTTAAACAATTTAAGAAAAACAATATACTTGAACAAAAATATCAGCCATTTGCAATTACTTTAAACACAGGTAAATAAAAATAATTTTGTTGTTAGGTATACGTGTACAGTTCAGATAGAGAAAGGAAATATTTTTACAAAATAAATAATTTTGATGTTCATAGTACAAAGAAGTGAAAATTTATAGTAATACCAATATTTATAGTATACATGTTTTGAGCACAAACGGCAAACAATTTCCTTGTAGTTCACATACAATTCAGTGTTTTATATTGTCCGTGTTTTTTCGAGACATTCAAAACGTCCGGGTTTTTCAACAAATGGTCTGTGGCACTCTCTCCGATCTCTGATCGGACGTGGCTGTATACTTGATCATCCCACACAGCAAAACGGACGCCGCACTTTGGCAAGGGTTTTACTGCCGGTCGGAAGAGGACCCAAGTGAACATTTTTTTTATTCCCCAGTCCCCCTTTCAGGTAAACAATTTTAGAAAGGTTTGTTATAAGTCATGTCAGTACCGAAGTGAGCATATCATAAAATCGGGGACTTATCCAATGTATTTAATAAACAACGAAATAAATAATCTGTAAGCTTTAATACGATCCTTTTGAAATAATAAAAAAAAAAACGAAATGTGTATATAATATGCGTACACTTCACAAATATACATTGTCAAAAAAATGAATCTTTATTCATTTAATTTCTGATGGAAATGAAGCTACGATGGTGCTTTATTTCTGTGTGACCAAGCATAACATACGCTTGATCAGACCCCCTCTTCACAGTAGGAGCATTTGAACATTGTTCTTGGTTTCCATTTCTAGAACGATAAAACATATTATCATCAAGACAAATAGTAAATGAAACATTTATGATGTATTTTCTGTTAAAAAATACACACATTTACCCGCTTTACACACTATGTATACGTACGTCTCAGTCAAACTTGTCGGAGCTCACATAAAGATTGTTTACATCACGAAATATTAACTGTGTGAAATCCATTTCGGTATACTAACATGAAGATTTCTGAATACAAATGAACGATGCCTTTCATGAAATGTACGTGTTAATACAGCATTATCAAACTGGTTTAATGCAATGTTTTGTGCTTTAAAAAGTACTTATTTTAACCTTTTCATTGTTTTTTAAACGTAAATGCACTGACAAACTACATTAATAGCCATAAGATCTTTGTTTTTTTCACTCGATAAAACAAGGACGCACTCGAAAAAACACAGACTGCTCTCGAAAAAAACACGGACATAAAAATGATTTTACTCTCTAAAATGTCCTTTTCAATGCAAAAACAAGAATTTTTGTAAAGCGTCTGAATATTAAAGTATAATAGATTCCATGTGAGCATCTCTGTTTACATTTGCATTGGTATGTGTATAAAAATGGCTTTATTCTATATTTTGGAATAAATCATTGTAAGGCTAAATTAAACGTTTTTAAAACAGAATAATGTAGGGTTGAAATTTTTTTTATCACAAATACTAATTTACCTTCTAAGATCTTGTATAACATCTTTTTTATGTCTTATCAGGAAGGAAGTCTACTTGTTTACATTTTTGATAATATTCACTCGAAAAAACGTGGTCACACGCGAAAACACCCGATCAAAACACTCGAAAAAACACGATCCCAGCCTGACACTATACCTGCTGTGGATCTGTTAGATTTAAATCATCATGGCTTTCCCCGAAAGTATGAATTAGATTAAATTTATCAGAATGAATTGCCCAAAAAAGATCCGTAATGGTACATCTAACTAACAATGTTTCATGGTTCTAGTGTTGACTTCTTTGAGGTCGACGTACTCGAATACATATGTTGTAGGATTTCCTGACTTGCCCCTCTAGTACTTGTCGAATTGTCAAAGATTCGGTCCTCCTATCTTCCATAATGTTTTAAACGAGAGGCGAATGATACAAAACGATATTCAAACTCATAAATCGACAAGTTATGGCAAAAAAAAACAACCAAAAAAAAAACGAAAACGACAAAAAGACGAACAACAGTACACAAAACACAACATAGAAAGAATGAGCAACACGAACCCCACCCATAACCGAAGGTGTTTCGTTTTTAATTTTGAAATAGAAATTTTATGGTTCTTTTAAATTCTTTTATAGCTTTTCAAAAGCTTTTCTATCTTCGTTTATTTTTACAAGGAAAACCAAAGATATTTATAGTCCAGGCGTGTAGAGGTTCATCTATTCAACCAGTAATAACACCAGACGACTGGCCAGAGGATAAAATGTCGGTACCACACGATGCTGATATTCTTATAGCATACGCAACTACTCCAGGTTCGTTCGTCAATTACCAACTGTGATGTAAATTGCGAGCAATATTATCATAATACATACAATATATTATATATTTTTCGTATATAACAAAAACAAACTGAAAATTCAAAATAATATTCATAAACTTTAGTTTAACACTACTTATGGACAAAGAGATATTAGATAAAGTTATACTTTTCAATTAATTCCAGTGGCAAGTATTTCATTTATACTCTTGAAGAGAACAAATTAGCAATAGATTTAAAAGATAGTTTCTGCTAAAGAGGGTCAATCGGGACGAAGAATGGGAAATTAGACTGTCACTGGAAAAGAGGGTAGACGTGTTACCTTGTAAAAGGCCAATTACAGTTACGTAGGATTCTGTATCATGTACCGAGTACTTAATGCTCTCCCTACACAAAACACAAGATTAAACGTCCCTATTCAAACCGCACGTGGTTCCGTATTTATGAATCAAATACTGCAAAACAGACACCCTTTAAAGATGTGTTTTACCACCAGACGAAAGAAATCAAGGGGACCATCTTTTATAATCATGGAGACAAATTTTAGGTTTAACAAATTCCTAAGAAGTACTAGTAATGCAGAATACAGAATAAAGATTAAATTAATAATACATATTTTATGAACGAAACAATGACGTTACCTGACAGTTCCCATGCAAACGTAAAATACCGGTGTAAGATAATTAAATTTCTTGAATTAAACAGCAACTGAAGGATGAAAATGCCAAATATAATTAAAGAACCTTAGTGAGCGCGCTCACATACCCCACGTCCCCACATTGTCACTGGAGAAATAAAATAACAATAAGAAAAAAAAATTGTTTAAGAAAAAAAATTGAATCGTAATTTCCTGTCGATATGCACATCTACATAGTATGTCCTTATTATCTACAAAGTTTCATGAAATTCTGTTGTGTGGTTTCAGAGGAGTTGCGATGACAAACTGTTGCAGAGGTATAGTGAAGCAAATAAGTTCAAAGGGGCGTAACTCCTAGAAAAAAATTGAATCGTTATTTCCTGTAGATATGCACATCTACGTAGTATGTCCTTATTATCTGAAAAGGTTTCATGAAATTCTATTGTGTGGTTTGAGAGGAGTTGCGATGACAAAAGGTTGCAGTAGTATATTGGGCAAATAAGTTCAAAGGGGCGTAACTCCTGGAAAAAAAATTGAATCGTAATTTCCTGTCGATATGCACATCTACGTAGTATGTCCTTATTATCTACAAAGTTTCATGAAATTTTGTTGTGTGGTTTCAGAGGAGTTGAGATGACAAACTGTTGCAGTAGTACATTAAAGTAAATAAGTTCAAAGGGGCGTAACTCCTAGAAAAAAAAATTGAATCATAATTTCCTGTCGATATGCACATCTACCTAGTATGTCCTTATTTTCTACAAAATTTCATGAAATTCTGTTGTGTGGTTTCAGAGGAGTTCAGATGACAAACTGTTGCAGAGGTATATTGAAGCAAATAAGTTCAAAGGGGTGTAACTCCTAGAAAAAAAATTGAATCGTAATTTCCTGTCGATATGCACATCTACGTAGTATGTCCTTATTATCTGAAAAGGTTTCATGAAATTCTATTGTGTGGTTTGAGAGGAGTTGCGATGACAAAAGGTTGCAGTAGTATATTGGGCAAATAAGTTCAAAGGGGCGTAACTCCTGGAAAAAAATTGAATCGTAATTTCCTGTCGATATGCACATCTACGTAGTATGTCCTTATTATCTACAAAGTTTCATAAAATTTTGTTGTGTGGTTTCAGAGGAGTTGAGATGACAAACTGTTGCATTAGTACATTAAAGTAAATAAGTTCAAAGGGGCGTAACTCCTAGAAAAAAAATTGAATCGTAATTTCCTGTCGATATGCACAACTACATAGTATGTCCTTATTATCTAAAAAGGTTTCGTGAAATTCTGTTGTGTGGTTTGAGAGGAGTTGCGATGACAAGAAACAGGACTGACGGACTGACGGACGGACAGACGGACGGACAGACGGACGGACGGACAGACAGACAGACGGACGGACAGACGGACGGACGGACGGACGGACGGACGGACGGACGGACGGACGGACGGACGGACGGGTCAAACACATTATAGCCTCCGCAACTCGTTGAAGATACCGAAGGGATTTTCAAACTCACTCGTCGATAACAAACTGACAACTCCATGGCAAACCATTCGAAAAACGACGAAAAAAACGTCTGCACACCACAAAATATTAATGTACAAAATTACCGTTCGTCTTAATTTGATATAAATTGATTTTTTTTAATCGATTTAAACTTACAGTTATAATCTTTGTTTAAGGGTTTAAAGCCTTTAGGACGAAGTATTCTGATGAAGGAGCATGGTTCATACACGTATTACTTCAGGAGATTGAAGAATCCTACGAAAGCGACCACCTTGAAGACATGTTGATCTCAGTAAGATATAAACTGGCAATTGACGAGGAATGGAGGCGGCATGAAATGTGTCAAATGCCATGCACATGGACAACCTTGACGAAAAGACTTTTTTTCAGATAACGCATTCGTAATGAGTGTTGAAATATCGATAAGGCAGCTTTGCACACACATATAAATTTTCTGTCCATTTTATTGGGAAAATTCATCGTATAATATGAAAAGATTGTAAAAGTCATCTATACTTATGATAAAGGCATAATAAAATAATCATGATCTCTAATGATATTATTGAATCCATCATACTCTTGTATCCCCAAATGAAACTCATAACTGTATTTTTTGTCTTGTCATGAGCACCATGACGGGTATCACCAGTGGAGCAGAAACTTACTGCTAACCCTTCATGAGCACATGAATTTACTCTCGAATTACAACGAGTTTTATGTTTAATCTTTACAGTTTTGTATGCTACGATTGTTTTTGATTTTTTTCTTGCCCGGTATGTTTGCTGGCGTATAAATGCGCCGGGTACCAATCAAATACTAAGTAGATGTAAGCATGGCTACTGACCACGTGCACTTGTTTCCTGCGATGATAAAAGCTCCCTTCCTTTTTTCTACGAAAGAAAGAGTGATCCTTTACCATCACATGAAACAATGATGGATTGACATGACCTGCTGATAACTACCATGTCCAACAAGGAAACGGATCATTGAATGTGGTTAAAATGCCCATTGGACTGCACGGTTACCCTCTAAACCAACGTTTTGACATCCAAACCATCTAGAATAGACTTTTCAGTTTTCTATGCAAATAAATGCGAACTGAATGACATGTTCATGTCGCCCGCAAAATAAAACATGAACAATTGTATAACCGTTCAACTACAATTTTTAATGGTGTCTATCTCTAGTATAAAGCCCAAACTTGTTTAAATCCAGATTTGATTTCTGTAATAGTTGTCGTCTTCGTGTAATTTGTTTTAATAGAATGGCCATTAGAAACTGCCTACACATTAAAATGCATACACATGACAGATAAGGGGTGTGGGGAAGATCCCTATGACACCACAACCCCTAACCATCTGAAGACTATTACAAGGGGGCACTGTCAAATCATAAACGAGGAGCATCATCCGCTGAACGGCAATCTTTTATCGACCCCTATTAGTATACAAAACAATACAAAGCAACCAATTTGAACAAAACCACCAGTTATCAAACATGCATGTCCCAAAGTGCCCAAAATTGAAGATGAAAATACCAAGGGCAATTTATCATGTGCTGTTTAAAATTGAGAAGGGGCACTTTTTGTAAGGTTACAGTTGCAGATTCCGGATTTAATGATAAGAGGGGACAATAAAAAAAATATGAAAAATGCTAAATTTTAAACTTACAACTTCATCGATATTTCCTGCACTCGTATGAACTTTCAATATCTAACGATATGAATCAGGAGAGGTCGATAAATCAAAAAAAGTATAGAGGGACGATAATTTGTGGTGATATGAAGACAGTCCATTTGTTGGTTGTTTTATATTGTGCACTTGTCGATCTCATGAGTTAAGTTTTTTTCATCTGATTTTTTTCGTTTGTTCTATAATAATGTCATGCTGCTACACTATGAATTTTTTCCAAGTTAGGAGGAGGGTTTGGCTGCCAACACATATGTTTAACCCCGCCGTATACTTCATATATATGCGTGTCCCTAGTCAGGAGCCCGGAATTCAGTGGTTGTCGTTTGTTATTGAATTTCATATTTGTTTTAAATTTATTGTTTTGTATATAAATAAGGCAGGTGGTTTTCATATTTGAATTGTTTTTCACTGGTCATGTGGGGCCCTTTATAGCTTGCTATGCGGCGTTGGCTTTTGCTCCCTGTTGAAGGCTGCACGATAACCTGTACATTGTAATTGCTTACACCAACGACATTTAGTTCTAGGTGGAGTTTCATTTGCAATCATACCCCATCTTCTTATTTTTATACTGAAAGCTCTGTTTATATAGTGCCTTGAAAAAGATGAAAATTTCAAACAGAACTTTTATTTTGATATAGTTTAATAAGCATGATACCAAACACCGTTATACACAAAATCACATGTGATTTGTAATTTGAAATATGCAAAGGAAAATATTCTTCCATCACTTTCTCTTGCAGATACTGTAAGGTTTCACTTATATATAAGAATATGGTCACCTGGACATTTACATCAGACTATGGGGATGTATAAATACACAGCAACGTCTGGAAGGAAAAGGGATGTTCATTCCAATGCCTCGCGTAGAGAGAGTGTCACATTCACTGCACGTTAGACAACACCATGCAACAACTCTTTAAGGGGGTAGTTGGTTGATATTTCAAGGTAAAACTTCTGTTCCTGTCCAAAATACTTTCTCTCCTTCTTTCCAGATGTAGTGTAGATTCCCATTCTTTATTCATGTCGACACACTTTGCAAATCCTACCTCACTTGGCGTCTGTCGTCGTCGTCCGTTAACTTTTAAAAAAACTTCCTCTCTGAAACATGGAGTCAACTAACTAAATTTTGTCAAAATGAAGTTTTGTCTATAATTTTCAAAACAGCTATAGAAAACTGAACGCGGCAGAAATATTAAGAATGTTGAGATCTACCTACTGTTCATTTATACCAAAACTATCAGACGACTCCTTACAAAAGATATGTCGTCAAATGACGTTTTTTTTACTAATTAATTTCAATGTTGAAAGCTATAAGAGATAGAGAGAAACTATAAATTGCAAAATTATCACCAAAACCAGGTCAAATGGCTGAAATCGTGAGTTTTCCTCCTAAATAAAGATTTTTACCAATTTTTGGCGTCGTTGCTTTTTTTTTTCTTGAAAACTACACTGGATAAAAAGAAACAGTAAAAATTATCAGCTGGGCAAGATCTACAAATTGGTCAACATTGGTTCTGAATCGTAGATCGACTCCTTAGTTATTGCCCCTAAATTACAATTTTTACATTTTTGGGCAAAATTATAGTAGAAAGAGAAAAACTGTAAACAACAAAAATGATTAACAGGACCAGAGTTAAGACCTTTTCAACTGATTTTATTGGTTGTTCTTATATTGTGCTGTAACACCACTGTCCCAGGTTAGGGGAGGGTTAAGCGCTCACAAACATTTTTAACCCCGCCACATTCTTTATATGCCTGTCCCAAGTCAGGAGCCTGTAGTTCGTTCATGTCTATGTTATCAAAGGTACCAAGCTTATAATTTAATACGCCAGACGCTAGTTTCGTCTACACAAGACTCATCAGTGACGCTCAGATCAAAATGGTTATAAAGCCAAACAAGTACAAAGTTGAAGAGCATTGAGGACCCAAAGTTCCAAAAAATTGTGCCAAATACGGCTAAGGTAATCTATGCCTGGGATAAGAAAATCCTTAGTATTTCGAAAAATTCAAACTTTTGTAAACATCGTATTTGTTTTTCGTAAATAGTTTTGTTATAAATTAGGCCGTTAGTTTTCTCAATTGAATTGGGTCATATTTTTCATGTCGGGGCCTTTTATAGCCGACTATACGCTATGGGTTTTTCTCATTGTTGAAGGCCGTGCGGTTGCCTGTAATTGCTTACATCCACTTGAACTTGAACTCTGGTGGATAGTTGTCTCATTGGCAATCACACCACATCTCCTTATTTTTTGTAAAATCTTACAAATTCGTCAAAATGGCCGAAATTGCCAATCTACTTCCATAAACGATAAAAATAAATTACAAAATACCTCGGACTACTTGTTGATCATTATAAACAATCACAATGAACCAATGTAATTGACTATATTTTATATATATCTATAAAATACAACAACAAGAACGATTATTATTTTTAGTATTATTAGTCATGCGTATTGTCTTACAAGGCGGTTGTGGTTTTTGAACATTGTCTGTCAGTTGAATTGACTGTTGAGGTTGCTGTCGTCTGCTGGGTCTATCATACAATGCAATGAAATAAGCCAAAGGTTCGACATAGTATGTTTCTATCCATGCCATTTTATAAAACATTATTTTCTTTACTTTTACTTTATCATTTCCAACCATTACAGATTGGGTATCAGCGATAGTCTTTAGACGAGTATTCACATCGCAAAATTTGTTCACATTATTCCCACAGGCCATTTCGTCCTGGAATATACACACATCCGTTAATGTACCGGGGTCCAAATATGAGCAAAGAATTATCATGGAGGCAAGGTCTTCGTCAGAGATGCACACATATCTCCTGAAATCTGTAAGTCGGGTAATATCATATTCTGTCTGATCAAGATTCAATACTTTACACATACAATTCAAATAATACATTAATTTTGCCGTTGGATTATTCGGAACACTAACGTTTGAACCGGATTCTTTATCGTTGATAGAGTCTCCGTTTAACACTAGTGCCATCTGCAAATCTGTTGCAATGTGTGTCACTAAATTATAGTCAATTTTATTGCTTTAGGCTTTGATTTTTAATCCTTATTGCTTAATAGTAAGTCAACAAACATATATGCCTTGCATGTACACGTAGCTTCATGGACTATACATGTTTCCGTTTGTAGCCTTTCAAATGTAAATGTGTGTTCCGTTTGCGCCCTATTAAACGAACTTGTATATGTTTATGTGAACTTACAAGCTTCCATGTAATTTCCTCAATAAATGAGACCATACAAATCTTGTTATTAGTTCTTTTGAATAATGGAGTCAAAAGATGGCCGACCTATTTGTTTATAAGTCATTTATATTCATACTAAGTATTCATAAGCAGTGATGGTCTAATTTTTTAAATTGAAAACAATTGATTGATTTTCATTTGCTTAATATCCTGTTGCAAATATTTCATCCATATTCAAAACGAAAACAAATCAACAATAAATTCAATAAGTAGGTTAGGACGGATAATTTGGACAGCCACTGGAAAATCTGATTAATTTGAGCAAAGACAGAAATGCCACGTGCCACTAGTAATACCGACCCCTAAACTAATCATGGCAAACGTTTTGTTAAGTTCAGAGAGATTGGTTATGTCTCTACAAAGGCATCGACAGGACTTAACTCGCTGCGTATTCATACATCCCGCAAAGCCAAGCAGACTATCCTTATGCTTTGGTTTTACTGCCAGAAGGGACAAGTCTAAGTGACCGTATAGTTCTACATTTAAGAAAGTCAATCTTTGGGGCTCTGTGGCAATGATGTATGGTTAATTCTTTACAAACACATGATTGATTGTTGGTTGCTTAATGTCCAGTGGCAAATATTTCATGCATGTTCAGGACGATTTACCAATACAAAATATATTTTTATGTCAAAAGAATATTTATTTTACTTTATCTAATCTAACCATCTTAATATTTATAAAACTACCAATATTCTTAAATATAGAAGAAAAGACAATCCAGCTACATTCTGTACCCAAACAACAAGATCTTTCCAAAGTGTTCTCTCACAGAAATGGCTAGACAGTTCCACTCTGTACCATCATAAAAATAAAAGCTTTAAATATTTAGATTTTAATGCGAGAAAAATGTATTTCCTTTTCTCAGTAAGAACGAATAATCAACTTGGCGTAGCCTCGTAAAGACGAAATGAGCTTTTTCCGGATCGACACACTCTCACACGTATTGTTTATTGTTTAACGATATAGTGTATTATAGATAACAGTGTTAACTTTGAAAAGGAAGTGACGATGTGTAGTTCTTACGAGAATTCAGTAAATCATTATGATAAAGAAATTGTGTTTAATCCTAGTCATAATGAGATGGAAAAAGAGAATGACAAACGAGCCCCAATTATAAATAATCTGTTATTCTACGATAGATATATATAAGATAATGTCATGTCTATGGAAGACAAATTTAATTTATAAGGTTAATGCTGGCTCACTTATAACGAGAATAAAATATGTTACATTAACAGATTATTAAATAGAATTTAAAAAAATACATAGACGACTGAACTGTATATTTGAGTGGGGCAGGGAATTAAAAAAAAAACCCAAAAAAACAAAATCAAATCCGATAGAGAACCGTTGTTGCAGTCATTCAGATAATAGGAAAGAGATTTTAAAATCAATTGTTTTATTTGTGGGTTGCTTAAACTCCAGTGGCGAATATTTCAGGATAACTAAGTAGCACACAATATTCGGGTTTTTCTATTAATGTACATACACAATTGATGGATATTAAGTAAATTTGTAAGACTGATTTTTTGAAAAATTAAAGTTTTGTTTTCAGTTTCAACTGAATTATGAACAGATAGCAAAATATGTCGGAAGGTAAATATTGTTTTATCGTCCGACAACTGAAAGTGAATAAAGATTACGAAATCCGCGCAGATGCAGAATTTAAACTGCTGCCCGAGAACAATAGTAGTTTCTTTTTGACATTCATAAATGAAATTTGTATTTTGTTAATTTAAAAATTGTTTCTTATGTTTTTAGCCAAAAAAAAGATTTTAGCAGATTTGCATATATGTTGTTTTGCATATATAAAAGTACCTAGCAAACTTACACACGTATAGTTGCAGCAGCAGCGTAAAAAGGGCATGCAATCACAATTGAAACGAGTTAATTCATCACCATTACGTCATTGTTAATTTATACCTGAGTTTTGTCATGTTTCTTCTGTTATAACTTTGGTCTTCGTACCAACCATACTGATGCATCAAAACCTAGTGATGGAGGAGTTAAACTGAATAATGTTTATCTAAAAATAATTCTAAATTGGAAACTACGAGGGTGAACAACTATGTAATATTGTTTTAAAACCAGACTTTGGTATACAATAGGAACACGGTCGAACTGTACATGGACATATGTCACTACATATTGCTTCAATGTCCGTTCAATTCCAAAGGACTCTGGAAATCAAGACTAAAAAAGAACTGTTCTACAGTAAAAGATGGCCTTCTGAAATATTGTAATATGTATTCAACCAGTGGTTGATTCTGAAAAATTCTGAACACCTACTTCAATCTTCAATCACAATCTTTACATTTTTGCAGTTATATCAAAACCTTTGATTTATTCTATTCTTTAGACTACTATTTCACATGCTTAATTGAAAAATCGGCTACATCGTCTCATTAAACAAAACTTATCACACAAAAATAGGAAACAAAGATACAAATTCCTTCGTGTAGGCCATGAAAAGTCTTATGACAACCACGCTGATTTTAACTTATCACACGATTAAAACCATCACGATCAAAATAATGTAAATCCTGATCTTTTACGATCAGTTATTGTTAAATATTATAAAAATGTCCAGTTTTTCTAAACAAAAGCCTTAACCTTTTCCGTGAAAACAAACCAATTACACTTATCTGTACTATGTGACCAATAATCGATTTAGTTTCAAATGCAGAATATACCATGTTATATTCTTAAATGTGATTTTTTTATTATTCGCATGCATAGGGTCATGTGTAGCCTTTTCTGTTTTCATAAACGTACTGCATATTTTCTAAAATTAGTGCGCAGTAAAATTGAGAAATAAAACACATTCTTACAGTCACATTTAATTAAGTTAATTCTGATTTGCTACAAATAATACATCATATTTTTTCCACAGATTTATAAGTTTAATTGTATCATTGCATTGACGACCCGATATCAGATCTTTCACGATCCGATCACAATACTTTACCATCGTTAATTATTCTTGATCAGTTATCTCGATCTTCCGAAAGACAGCTGTGGAAAGGCGGTTAATTTTGTTTTATACCGAACAAACTTTATATGCACCTTTTTCGTTCGTTGTGCGTTCTGCTACGTGTTTAAGGAATAACACAAAAAAGGGTAAAAAAATCCAACAAAAAAAAAAAAAAAATGCTAACCGTTTCCTAGACCTTTAGTTTTCCAGTTATGATAGATCAATTTATCATACAAATTTTCCTTTCGCTGTCTTATTCTTAATTGTTTTATCATGGTTTAAGCTCTTGAATCACTGAGTATTCGTTTCTGTATGTGAATATTTTAACCTGTCCATCTTCAAAACCGATCCACAAATGATCGTGAGGAGCAATTGCAAAACAAGCAGGCTGACTATCATGCGTGTCTATTTGAAGTAACACGCCTTCTTTGTCAAGTAGATGTTGTCTGAAACCTACTCTATCTATCACTGTAACTGTTCCGTCAGATAAAAATCCTGCACCTATAAAATCATATTTTATTCGCTTTGCAGCCTTAAGATCGATCTCTGGATATCTAAATTTCATTTCCCCATTACAATTCACAATGGTTATCCATGAAGCTTTTCCTTCCGGACAACTTACAATACATAAATCTCCGTTCGTGTTTTCGGAAATATAAACTGGCGCTTCAATATCAATTTTATCCTCAGACAAAACCAGGTCACTCTCAAGCTGCGTTTTGTCATTTGCATATCGTCGAATAATCGGATTCTTAACTAGATGTTGGTCAGACGCTGTTTTTTCTACAAGACATACTGTTATGTCGCCATTAACGGACGCGGATGTACAGGTACATAAACACACAGCTTGAAGAGGCGCGGTGTTTATATAGTTTCCAAGAGTATAACTCTTATTTCTGGAGAAAAAATTGAATCCAAATGATCCGCTATATTTTAGCTGTTTAAGAGACTTCTTATTCAACATCCCAATGATAAGTTCGTTTGCATTATTTCGAGCTGCACACTGTGGTTCCTCGTCTAAAGTCTTTAATATTTTTGTCTTGACAATACCCGTGCTACAGTCTAGTTCTTCGATATCGCTGTGAATTAGCCATGCTTGAAGACTTTCTTTTGGTACAATGTGAACGACTTTAGCTGTCCGTTTAAAAGTATTTATAGCGAAGAAATCTCTCTTATTTTCCTCTGTAAATTTTAATAAGGGATAGAAATCACTTCCTTTTTGCTTTTCTGTGTCTTCGTTTTTGTCTTGATCGTTTTCTTGCCTCATACGAATTCCAATTTCATCAACTTCAGCATAAGTCCCCGATTCCATGTAGCCTATGATAGCTTGTAACTTACCCTTTTGTACTAACTCATTTTGACATTGATATCTGGGTGGTTGAATCCTTGGTACTACGTCTACGTACGGATCATCTTCAAGGTTCAATGATAGTTTTGAATCGTATGACAATACCTCTACATCAAACATGTTTGAACTTTTAGATTCCACAATCTGTATAGTTTCTTGGATTAAATTTAATCTTGATTGCTGCCTGTTAGAAAATCTATCAAACTCTTCGTTTGCAGCAATTTTAGTAGCTTCAAAATTTTTAATCAGATCGTCTTGTAATTCGTCCACATTTTTTTTTATCATTGCTCGTCTAAGTTTTACTCTTTCGATTTGTTGATCGACAGACGCATTAAACTCTGCTTTGCCTATATTTGCCTTCTCCAGTTCCTTTTGTATGTCAGGTAGGTTTTTATGTTTTGCTTCTGTTGCAGTTTGTATTAAATGTTGTCTTTTCTTGCTGAGATAATCAATAAGTTTGATTTTCGTATGACCACTGTGACGTCCAATGACACAGTCATCGCAAATCACCACGTGATCATCTTCACAGTAGAACCTTGCTTTCTCCGATGGATGTTCTGGACAAGTGATAAACTGATTACTTATTGTGGCTGCCATTACTGAAATAGACATATTATAATTGTGTGTAAAACACCGATAGATTTTAAAAATAAATAAACATTATATTATTTATTTAGGAATTCATTTGGGAAGAAGGCAAGAAATTTGCACAGTCTGGAATAAAAGACTATGCTGTGAAGCTGCACTTTTTTGCCTTTCAATGTGTTAATTCAGTCACGGACATGGGAGTTTTCTAGTAGCTTTTAAAATTGAAATATAGCTTCGGGAAATACCATTTAATTTAGTTTTCCGCCATAATTGATTGAACACACACCGCGTATCCATATTTCTATTAACTTATACAAAGACTGTTCGTTTGATTTTGCATCGTCCTGCAAGTCTTTTGGGGTTATTCTCAAATGATTGAACTGACTTTGATATTGCTACATTCAATTTCAAGAAAAAAATCTTCATTGTATTTTACTTTTATGGAAAATAGAAATGTAAAGTTTTCATGGAAGAGGTTCAATGATTGTTAGAAAGCACGAAGTAAGCAAGTTAAACAGTTTAAGGATGTTCGCAAAGGACATTTTGTCAGATATTCGGAATCCTCTAGTTTTATCCATTTAGTGCCAATACAAATTTTGCCCGCTAGCCCCCACTTTTCTTTTCATACTTTTATCACATATAGTAGCACATATAGTTTAAAAAAACATTTTTGAAAATCATATAAGATCCTTGTTATTTTTTCATAGTTTTTTGGAAAAAGGTACCAATGTAAAATGTAGGATAAAAATAGAGAGAATCATTTCCCCGCCAAATTTCAATTGATTAGGTAGCAATACACAGTTAGGACTTCAGTTTCGCAATTTGGCCATGGTAAATTTTTCAAATGTGAAAGTTTTTGAGCAATAAAATTGATTTTTAGATAGCTATGGAATTATATAGCCTTCAAAGTGGGTTTATATGAACATCAATATTTTTTTTGCATGTTTTATAAGCCATGTTTCTGTTTGACATCCGTATTTTCACATCCGTACCGTCCGAAAGTCCAGACATTATTGTAGTGTTTTTCAACAAATAATTGACCCTCGAATGTTTCAATTTAATTTCATGGAAAAACGAGGCGAACTGCATATGTTTCTTTTTATACCTCTAGATAGATAAATGTCAATGTCAAGGACACGGACTTGTCATTTTTTTCTCTACTTTTTCAATTACGATATTTATATACTATCAATTTATAACAGTCTTTTAAAATGCTTGTTATTTTGAAACAGTGACCGCGAACAACTTTTGCAACATTTTCGTATTGTATCAATGGTTGTGAAGCATGTCGGAAGAGTTGTACCCTTAGGGTTGTCGCACTTGATCTCACTCCGTTTGTTTCAAACGAATCTGACTGTTTTCATTCCTATTTTTGTCTTTTTATGCCTTGACTTATGATATTTCATTTGACATTTGTACAAATAAAAAGTGTTTAGTTTTCGTCAATGAAACATAAACACAACGATACAAATAACAAAAAGACATATATACCTCCGAAGGTAATGTTTTACGATGACATAAGTCGGGTAGTGATATGCGTATGTTTAACGCTAAGGAACGTCTTTATCTTTTAGGTTATTAAAAAAAGAAAAATAGGACTCTACTGTAGACTCATATCTGTGTGAAATATGTATTAACAAGGTAGGAAAAATGCAAATAACACTTTATAAGTTTCATGTGTCCGAGGTACTTTTCTGGATTTACCTTCATCGGGAACGTTCAAAGCTGAATATTTGAAAGCCAATGAAGTTTAAGAACCCTGACAGTTGAAGAGCTGTATGACCATAAAGAACCTAAAATAATAGCTTAATTCATCTAAGTAATCTTTATCAGCGGAAGTTGAAATCATCGTTTTTTAATAATTTCTTTCTAAATTTATGAAAAAGGTAAAATAATAAAAATTCAGAACTCCCAGGAAAATTCCATCGGAAAGTTCCTTATCAAATGACAAAATCAAAACCTCAAACGAATGGAAATAACTGTCATATTCCTGACTTGGTACAGACATATCCTAATGTCGAAAATGGTGGATTGAACCTGGCTTTATAGCTAGCTAGACCTCTCACTTGTATGACAGTAGCATAGAATTCCATTATATTGACAACAATGTCAATTTTAACGGCAATTTGAGAACGATTTGTTTAAAATGATGTCAGTACCGAAACATTTGTCGTAAAAAAAAAATCAATCACAATTTACTTTAAACATTCCAATTTGATTTTTTTTGTAAATTCTTCTCAATTCGATTTCCTGACATTATATTTTGAGAAATTGCATTGAAAAGTAAAGAGCTTTAAAGGAAGGTGGTAGGAAAGTATTCTTAAGTCAACTCAAGATCTTGATTCTGACCAATGAAAACATAATTTTGTCATTACAAAGTGGGTCATGCTAAAGTTACCACATTTAAAGACATTTTCAACAAGGAACCGCTCAAATACAAAACTTGGTGAGTTAGAGTGCCTAAAGATATGTCTAACAGTATTTAAAAAGCGATTGAAGAAAATTGCCCACTGTCTATAATACCATCTTTACTCTAGATTATGCAAGATTACGAGATTATATCACATGTATGAGCAAAATGTAACGCACAGCGCTAATATAATTTGTCGTTAGCTTTTCTGTCTCATACATATGAATCGACACTGACCCTCCATTTTTTTTTATTCATATTGAAAATACGGGAGAGTATTTGATAATGGAATGACAGAATCTCTTGCGTGTTATTTTTGTAAAATTTTAAATATTGTTTGCATAATAGTAGCCAAACGTTCAGTGACAAATATTCCATGCATAATCAAGACAAAAACAAGTTGAAATATAGCATCAGGTAGGGATATGAATAAGGGGGAGGCAGGAAAAGAACGCTATCTTTACAACAAATACTACCTTCGAATTTTCTTCAAAGATTTCATGATTGTGATCCTTAAAAAAGGTGGAATATACCACGGAGACGTTCAATTCCCATAAGACGATGAAAAACTGACAACACCATAATTACCATGACACGAAAGACGAAAACACTACACAGAAAATTAAGGACTGATGAGCAACACGAATTCCATGTGATGAAAAATGGATTTTTTCGAACATGCTTAAATTTAATGTCACCAAAAAGATCGACATATGACAAAAAAAAAAAAAAACGAAACGAAGAAATACACAAACACCTCAACGGACGCCCTCTCAAGTGCAAAGACGTCTTTTGTTCGAATTGTAGTCAGAACTTTATAGCCTCATTTATAGACCCCAGGTGACCTTGAGCTACCTGAATTAATATTCTAAAAAATATTTTGTCTTTTGCTTTTCATTTAGTGATACTATAAAACTGAGTTTAAACCATTTAAAAGTTAAGATTAGATTAGAAATCAGTTAAGATAAATCGCAGTGCTTACCTGAGATATAAACCTTGATGTTAAAAATAATAAAATGATTCAAGATTTGAAATGATGATATAAGCCATAACTAAAATACATCGTCCATTTTTTGTATTTTTTGTCAGGGGCAGTTGATTGAAAAACATACCAATAATTGATCATTGTATAAATGTTTAAATACCTTAAACTAGTATTTGAAATAATCAATCATTGATATATTTTTATCTGATCGTATAATCGAAGTAAATATATTTTAGGTTATTATAATATGAATGACGCACGCCTTAAAGCTGTATATTATTTTCAAAATAAATATTACTTATATTTGAGTTATGTTCTTGTTCATCTTTCCAAACGAACAAAAGTATTCACAAATAAAAACTATAAACACTTTATTTCGGATATAAGCTCGGGTAAATAGTACGGTAATGCCCTGATGTAAAATATAGTAAAATGTATGCAGTAATGTGTATATACATAAATTATGCATGTATTTTAACTGCATTCAGGCACTGCTTCATCATTATCAAGTAGCAATACACAATCTACTAAATGAATAATGTATGTTACTAAACAATCCTCTTTAAATTTGGGAAGATATCTCCTTCATGCAAAGCTCTGAATATTTGCACGGCTTCGGCTACAATTTTTGTCCTTTATGTTGCTAGCTCTTCGTGTTTGAATGCGATTAGGATTATAGAATATTTTATCCTTGAGCATCACTTAAGAGATATTAATTGTCGAAATGTGCATCTGGTGCAGTAAACTTGGTAAACAAGGGGCGAAAGATACCAAAGGGACATTCAAACTCATAAGTACTGTTTATGGTATTCATGTATGCAAATTCATATTATTAAAATAGAAATAAAGAGATGTGGTATGATTGCCAATGAGATAAATATCCACCAAAGTTCAAATAAAGAGGATGTAAGTAATTATAGGCAACCGTACGGCCTTCAACAATTAGAAAAACTAATACCGTATATCCGGGCTTTAAAGTTATTGTTAAACTACCTATTCTAGAGGTGGCGTGAATCAGATGTGGATACAAAAATTTCCAAAGATCTTTTAGAGTACATAAAATCTAAGACTCTTTCATCTTGCAATAGTATTAAAACATTTGACTTTTCTACAATTTACACAAGTATTCCCCATTCCAAACTAAAAGACAAGTTGAAAGAGTTGGTCCTGCTATGTTTCATAAAAAAGAATGGCTAACGTAGATACAAGTATCTTGTCTTAGAGGGGGATAAATCCTATATTGTAAAAAAATCACTCTGATTCTAACAAAAAATTCTCTGAAACTTACATTATCAAGATGCTTGACTTCTTGATAGACAACATATTTGTTACGTTTGGAGGACGTGTTTTTCAACAAACAATCGGCATTCCCATGGGAACCAACTGTGCTCCTTTTCTTGCCGACTTGTTCCTTTATTCATATGAGGCTGACGTCATACAGAAACTTCTTAGGAAGAAAGAAAAGAATTTAACAGTATCCTTTAACTTTACTTTCCGCTACATATATGATGTTCTCTCACTAAATAATTCAAAATTTGGTGACTATGTTGAGCGCATCTATCCCATCGAACTTGAGATAAAGGATACAACAGATACAGTTAAGTCTGCCTCATATCTTGACTTACATCTAGAAATTGACAATGAGGGTCGGTTGAAAACAAAACTTTATGACAAAAGAGATGATTTCAGCTTCCCAATTGTGAACCTTCCATTTTTATGTAGCAACATTCCAGCAGCGCCTGTATACGGAGTATATATCTCCCAGTTGATAAGATACTCCAGGGCTTGTATTTCCTATCATAATTTCCTTGATAGAGGGTTGCTGCTCACAAGGAAGCTATTAAAACAAGAGTTCAAAGTGGTGAAGTTGAAATCATTCCTTCGTAAATTTTACGGACGACATCACGAGTTGGTTGACCGTTACGGAATATCCGTTTCACAGATGATAGCGAATATGTTCCTAATGTCGTAACTACAATCCTGTTCCCTTTTCCCGAATTTGTGACCTACCGAATTCGACTTATTACCGGGTTTGTGCTAACATAAGCAACACGACGGGTGCAACATGTGGAGCAGGATCTGCTTACCCTTCCGGAGCACCTGAGATCCCCCCAGTTATTGGTGGGGTTCGTGTTACTTAGTCTTTAGTTTTCTATGTTGTGTTTTGTGTACTATTGTTTGTCTGTTTGTCTTTTTGTTTTTAACCATGGCGTTGTCAGTTTATTTTCGAATTATGAGTTTGAATGTCCCTTTTGTATCTTTCGCCTCTCTTCTATAAAGGAATCCGACATGAAAAATACGAAACAAATAAAATGAGAAAACGAACGGCCTAATTTATAACAAAAAAAAATCGTTTTAAGAAGTATACAAATAGTAGCAAACTCATTTATCTATCCCACTTATTATATCTCAAACAAATACGGTGATGTTCCAAAGTCATTATTTATCTGAATGTTGTTAAAGGGAGCAATTATTTGCATAGGTGATAAAGGCAGCATTTTGAGGTTTAGCTATTTTCATGATCAAAAATCGGTCGGAAAATATGGTTTAAAATTTGATTATCTTGCTTTATTTTCTCCAAGAAATTATGAGCAGTTCTAGGAAAAACAAATCCTGCTATTACATGTGTTTTCCATTTTGTGGAAAACGAAATTCTTGCTACATCACCAAGACAAATTTTCTTAAGGCTTGACATTTACCTTCAATTCATATTTTACAAATACTATAATTGAAATTAAATGTAATTTTTAAATATTGAACACTTATTTAAAACCTTTAAGAGAATAACTGTCAAATTATGAAAACAAAACTGATGCAGCAATGTTACTATTGGAATTTATAGAGGGGTTTTAAATTAGATTAAACTATACTGGTTCAAGGATCTCGATTTTTGCAAGTAATCATATCGGCAGAAGTTCACAAAACTGAAACGAATTTAAAATTACAAAAAGAAGTCGTCTTGGTAGAATGTTGGGTCTCTTTTAAAAATTACGAATTTCAACTTTAAGAATATCTCCTATTGGGGTTGTTGCAAAAAATGACGGGGGATAGCGTCTTATAACCCACTTGTCATATCCTCCAAACTGGAATGAGAATGATTTCATTGATCCAGAAATTTGCAAAGTAAAGTATTCTTCTTTTGATATGATTTCAGAATTAGGAAATAACGTGCTTTGCGCAAAAATGGACATTAGTCAGGCCTTTAGAATTTTATTGGTTCACCCAGCTGATTTTGACCATCTGGGAATTTTCCTTAATGGGTTATGTTATATTAATAAATGTTTGCCTGAAGTCTGCTCTATAGCATGTGCCCTCTTTGAAACATTTGCCACTTTTTCTTGCATAAAACAGTTGCATTGAGAGGTGGAATTGACACTTTAGACCACTATTTGGATGATTTTTCCTTACTGGCGAAAGTTCGACAGATAATTGTACCATTTTGATGGACACTTTGAATGAAGTATGTAAGCAGCTAGGTGTTCCACTGGCAGAGAACAAACCAGTAGGTCCTATCACATGTATCACATTTTTAGGCCTTGAAATTTACACAGTGCTTATGTTGGTTAGAATACCCCTGAAAAACTGGATAAACTTAAATTTATGCTTGATCAGGTCTTGTCGAAAAAGAAAATGGCACTGAAGCAACTTGAATCAATTACTGGTTTATTATTATTATTATAAGGCTTTTTATACTGTCAGATTGAATTCAGAGGTGAAAGCAGATGCTAGAGTTTGGTTAAATTTTCTAGATCGATTCAATGGTCAGTGTTATTTTCCTGATAGATTTTGGTCGACTAATGAAAGTATGGCATTATTCACTGATAGTGCAGATAATGTTTTATTAGGTTGTGGAACTTATTTCAATGTCACTCGCTACAATAACTGTGAGCCAGTAGTTGGGCTGATACTAGCATTTTATTGGATATAAAATGTTTGAAGAGATTATTCCCATCGTGCTGGCTTTCATGATATGGGGTCCTTCTTTTAGAAATAAACAGATTTTGTAAAGAATAGATAATCAGGCATTGGTAAGCATTGTGAACAAAAGAACATCAAAATCAAAGACAGTTATGAAATTGATAAGACAACTAATTTTTCTCACTATGGACAACAACATTCAATTTAGGGCACAACATATTGAGGGTTAGCACAACGTAATAGCAGATGCTCTTTTTCGATTTCAGGAACAACGTTTTATGGACTTTGTCCCGAATCAGACAGTTCTCCATCCGCAATCCCACAAGAATTCCTGACAATGATTTCAGAACTGAAATGAATCAATTACTTATAAATTCATTAGCACCCAGTACACAGAAAGCATATTTGCGTAGCATGGACATTTTTGTTAAATTCAGAGAAAATCAGGGTTTTTCTGATGTCTGGACTATTCCACTTGGTGACTTGACATCATTAATTGTTTATCTGTTTAGGAAGGAACTGTCCCACTCAACAGTACCTAGCTATATTTCAGGCTTAAGTTACTTTCTTAAAATAAAAAATTTAGAAGACAATACACAGAAATGTGTAGTCAGAAAATTGACTGAAGAAATAAAAAGGTTGGGGGCCCAAATCAAAAGGACACTAGATTACCAATAACGAGAGATAGGCCTATATTGGAAAAATTATTGAGGTCACTGGCGGTGATTTGCAAAAAGGGTATGAGACAAAATTGTTTATGACCGCATTTTCGCTAGCCTTTCGTAGTTTTATGAGAGTAGGTGAAATATCAGTCGATTGCAAAAATAAGCAGATGCATACTGTAAAATTTGAAAGTATAAAGCTATGCAGTGCACGATTAGAGGTTTTATTGACGTCATCAAAAACTGATCAGTTTGGTTCTGGAACAATAATCGTTATTTCTAAGCAGAAAACAAAAAATGTCTGTCCAGTACAATGCGCATTAGAGGGTATTTCTGATGAACAAATTAAAGAAATGGGACGTTCGAAGTCACAGGCCTTTTTGCGTCATATTAGGATTTAAAATGTGCCTGAATATTATACTGTACACTTATTTCAAGTAAATATGTTTCTATAATTGCTTATTTTATAATGCAGTCTAGAGCTGGCATTTGAATATAAATATTGTATTAAGTAAATAAAT